CAACAATATAAAAAAAAATAGGCATCTCATGTCCAGAAAAATTAGAACTTGTTTAATTATGAAGCATACGCATTCTTATAATGTATTTTCATAAAATTACAAAAAGCCCTCTTTTCCCCAAATATTTCAATGATTTATATTTATTCTTTTCCTTAAAAACAACTTTTAAAACTAATTAAATTTAATTAGTTTTAAAAGTATTTTTTTTTAAAAAAAATTGCTATGCAGGTTGGTCTTAATTCTTTCAGTTCATATACGGGATTCGGATTCCTGAAAAATCGAATTATATAAAAGTGTCGTATATTTGAAATTTGATTTCTCAGGAACTATTCGATCAATTACTAATTTTGTATTTTATGTTAAATTACCTTCTCTTTAAACGATATAAAAATGTATGCCAATTCAATTTTTTTCCAACTATTATTAAATAAAATAACAAATAATTATTAAAAAGTTATTGTTAGACAATTTATAAACGACCTTAATAATTGTGCTCAAATTTTTTTCAATCCGATTGAAAAGCTCTCCAGTTATTTGATTGCGGCTACTCCCTATATTTTGGAGTTTAGAAATCCAAATAATGTCGAAAAAATGGCATGTTTATTCAGAGAAAGTACGTTTTAGTGTCCGATTTGGTAACATAAAATATCGCCCCTTCGCTAATTAATTAGCATATCTGAAGTCCCTTTGAACCATGAGTCCTAGAACGTGAAGACCAGATTATTAGATCAAAAGTTATCAGGATGGTCCGTTCATTTTTTTTGTTTTTTTTTGTGTGCACTGAAAGTCTGAAAATTTATAAGTCAAATCTGCTTAATTTTTATTTTGTTGCTTTATCTCTAATTTATTCCATTTTGATGCGAAAAGGATTTTTAATAATTTGATTTTGTTAAATAGACCAGAATGTATTCTGATCTACTTCTTTACTCTTTGCCTTGTTTTCTTTATTAGCAAATTAATTATCCCAAGATATTCCTAAAATAAAATGTCAACTTCCTCGAATTTATTTCTCATTATACTCATTAAAGAATGTATTTTTATCTCTATTTCGCTGGTTCTAAGTTAAAACGGCACTTCCGCACTCAATTCTCATTCAAATAATATGAGAAGTGAGTGCAGAAGTGTCGTTTTAGTTTTGAACCAGCCAGAATTTAGTCCAGAATTTTGTATGTAATTATGTGTATATTTTTTCTTATTATCTGTTATTATATTATGTTTGTAAAACATAATTATATTAAGAGCTTCGGTTTTTTTATTGAACAGTAAATAAACTAACCAAAATATATAATTTGATTGCAGCTATTTCTATTTGTAATTGCCATAACGAATCGCAATTATTTAAACTGTGATCTTTAATGACTTTATTACATCGCGATGATTTTATTGTTTTGATGTTAGCAAACGATTATTTAAAAAAAAGTCAATTTCCTTCAGTTTTGATTTTAAAAATATTGCGTAATCATTCTGATAGTTTTTCTTTAAACCAGAGCTACATCTGTTGTGAGTGCGTATTTTTGTTACCACATTATATTTGTAAAACTTTAAAATATAATTGTACTTAATTAAACAAATTGTCAGAATTTTTATTGATAACTGAAAAAACGCAATAGAATCTTCTATAAATATGATAAAATAGACTTTTTGTTTCCAATCAATGATGATCATGAATACACTTGAATGCATTACATATAAAAAAAAAGAGATAATTTTACTGTTATGGTTAATTTTTATTTATTTATTAATCTACTTTTATTTAAATACAACGCAATCTTTTATTTTATTTTATAACCGTCGTTGAACAGCCGACCTAATTTCATGGGTTTACGACGACTAATAACTAGCTAAACCCCGCCCCCATCCGGGGATTTACGACTACTAATGTTCAACTCCGTAGCCTTGTAATTTTGAACCCAATCCAGAAGTCAAGGGAACTCCTGGATCGAGCATTGGGAGAAATTTACCTTCGTGGAGGACTTTTTGATGGAACTAACCTGCATTTGCGTTACATGGAGAGGAAGACCACGAGAACCTCCCACGGTTAGTCTGATGGCAAGGGGATAACCCATGATCCGTCTACCACTGAGGATATTTCACGTCAGCACTGTGGTCGGTGCAAGCCGGATGCGGAATTCGTATCAACTGGGATTCGAACCTAGTTCGCCTCATTGGAAGACGAACGCTCTATCCCCTGAGTCATCGCGGCTCCTTGCAATATTCCCAAAAGAGTTAAATACTTCAAACAATATTTTTAGTTCCTATTGCATAACAAGAGGAAGAGAATATAAATATTTTAGGAAGGGCGCCAGGACGAGATTTGCAATAAGTTCTTCTTTCCATAGATCCATGTCTCTGAGGACATGTAAGTCAGTTTTTAACTACGTAATTTTATAAATTTAAATTTCCTTACGTTTATAAAAATCTAATAAAAATGTTAACTTTAAAACATTAATTAGCCGAGATCCCAGAACATTTAAAGTATAACATGAAAATAAATAAATAAGTGCAGTTCAGTTTAAATAAGGAAAAAAAAAAACTGATTTTAATTTAAAGAAACATAATTTTTTGATTAATTTCTTTTAAAACAGGGCTTCCCAACTTACATAAGGCCGGGGGTCGCAATTAAAAACACCAGTGTCAAATGGCTGGCCACAACTTTATCAAAATTTTATGTAGGACTCTTTCATGTTTGAAGGAACATTAAATATTACTGTCAGAATTTTTATCAAAATTTTATACAGGACTCTTTCATGTTTGAAGGAACATTAAATATTACAGTCAGATTTTTATCAAGTTGTCCAAAACAAAAGTATTGAATTACTAGTCAAAATACGAAGTAGATTTTTACCAGAGAAATAAATTTTTTTGCACCTTTGATATGTTAAATTTCACAGAAACGAAGAAATTAAGCTTGTTTTAACGAGAGAAAAGTATTTTAAAACCATAAAGATTTTTTACGAAAATTGTCCGCAAAAATAACAACTAATATATTTTAGTACGCGGGCCACAAAAAAAAAGGTTTTGCGGGCCGGACGTGGTCCGCCAGTTGGTAACCACTGTTTTAAAAGAGAGCGGTTTTATTTCCCCTTGCTTTTTTAATTTAAGATTAAAATTAGATTTTCTTTATCAGCATACAACAATAGGTGAATAAATAAAATAAAGAGGAATCAATCCCACTATAAATTCCAACGAGAAAATTAAAGTCTAGTGTCTACAATGAGAGGATATCAATAGCATATAATGAAAGGATACCAATAGTGAACACGAAAATAATTCTTTTAAGAGTGTGAAATGGGTCATGTATTTAAATTCCAATGGCACATGTTTGAAAATGACCATCGATTCATCTGAATTTATTAAGCTTTTAAAATTTAATTTCTTTTTAATCCTTTGACACAGATGGGACTCTGGTATCCCTTTTACATAAATTTTTCTGACTCTCTAATTATAAGCAAATATATATTTTGGTATTTTTTAATTGTAAAAAACAGTCTAAAAAAATCTATTAGATTATTGGAATTATATTTGTTTTAAAATATAAAATCCTAAAAAAGTAGTTTGAAAAGATTTTTTTTCATTCATATTCAAAAATTTACCAATTGATTTTGTAAAATTAAATAAATTTTAATGATGAATAACTGTTTTTCTTAGATCTAAATAACTGCAAATTTGAAAAATTAATGCTTAGGAGTGAGCCGTGTTTGGAAGATTTGACCTTCAACACAGAAAAAGACACCAGTGTTTAATAATGTATTTCATAACCATAAATTAAGAAAATGTTAAATTTAAATTTTTTTAAACTTATTTTGACATAAATTAATACAAAATAATGAAAAAAGTATGAAAAATATGTTTAATAAAAATTCTGCACTGAAGGGCTAACAAAATATCTAATTTTTAATTAAATAATATTGAAAGCATAACAATTTAAAATACTTTTTGAAGAAACTGATACATACATTTAAATTTTTAATTAAAATTAGAACTGAAGTAGTGAAAAACGTTTAAATAAATTGGCAACATTATGTTGTTGAAATAACTGCCATGAATTTGAATAATTAAAATAGAACATATACCATCTTCCCATTCCAGGTTGACTAATAAAAGATTAATAATTTTTTAAAATTTAAAACAAAATCTATTTAAATTTTTTTTTCTATGTAATAGTAAAAGAATATCATTAGTACACATCAAAAATATTTTCCTGTAGTTTTAAGTCAGTTGGAATGAAACATTTTGAGAGAGAGCCTTTGGAACTTCCTTTCATTAAATTAGATAGATGGGGGAAAGAAAAGAAGAAAATAAAGTTGATTCAAACTGTATTATTATGTACACTTATTTATATATTTTTTGAAAATGAAAAAGCAATCAAAATGACTTCCTTGGGCAATATAGTGTTAAAGCCCATGTAACTTCTTAAGGGGGTTGTAATCCAGAATAATTATAGTCAAATTTTTTTATTACTATTTCAAAAAAAAAAAAAAATTGTTGCTAGTTTAAATAAAAACACAACAGTACGTTTATGAAAGTTGAATTAAAAAATTCAAAATCAAAGTTTCATTTTTGCAGTAATTTTAGAAAAATAAAGAAATATACATTTATCTTTTATTGCACCCCCCCCCATTACTTTGTTCTGACGCAAAGCATCCACTTTGATGTTTCTGTTTCCAAACTGAAGAATTTTACTTAAAGTAAAGCAGAAAAATAATTTTTCCATATCAATATAATAGCGTTTTTTACAGCCAATAAATGAAATGCAAGCAAATCTGTTACTCACAAGAAACTTGATTGAGCAAGAACACCCAAACTCGTTTATTATGAGCCCTTATTTAACAAGATCCTGACAGATTAAAAATGTTGGCTAATGCAGACTGTTTACTGTACTAATAACTATTAAGTATCATCATTAGCATCAGTAATTAAAGTAGTTAAATGTAACAAAAAAAATTTAAAAACTAAAAATAGTAGCCCCATAGTAAAAATAGAACAATAAACTTTCCATGTGGATAAAATAATATTTTATTCTACTTGACACAATATGCTATAAAAATATAGTTATTTACAAACATTTGATGGAAAAACATTACTTCTCAATCAGAAATCTTTTAAAAAGTTTTTCTTCATTCTTGTTTTTAAACTTTGGAATAAAATTAACTTTAATGATAGATGTGAAACCTTCTTTCAAGCTTGGCTCAACAAACTTACCCCTGTAAGAACATCAGCATGGTATCAAAACATAAGTAAAAAAAAATTTTGAAACAAAGAATATAGAGAAAGAGGAAGATTAATAAAATAACTATCAACAACAGTGTCAAATTATCAGTTTTGTTTCTTAAATATCTTTTCATATAATTTTTTTTTGCATGGCACTGAATTCAAGCTGCATTGGCCATAACTGTTTTTATGGGCCAATCACAAAATGAACACTTTGATTTTAATTGTGGATATTTTGTTTGATGTAACTGATATGGAAAAAAAAAACTTTGAGATATTTTTGTTTTTGAAAATCTATGACACATTCTTTATAAATCTTGCTAATGTATAAAGTCACACTAATAACTAAATATGAAATATGCATAGTTTAACTGTACTTATATGAAGGGTGGGCTGTGATCAGACACTAGGAATTTTCATGCTGCTTTTTATTTTAAGTTATTTTATTTTAGCAAAAATTAATTCTTCATATAGCTTTCATGGCAATTTAACGCACATTGGACAAAAAAAAAAGTACCACTAAGAATAACTTTTGATCTAAAGAGAGTCCAAACATTGGATTGCTCTCCTGACCAAACTATGAGGACCATATTTTGGATGTCAGAAATCTGAATCCATCAACAAGAAAAAAAACATGTTTATTCAGAAAAAATGTTTTTGTGTCTGATTTCATAACTTAAAATATCGTCTGAACTAATTAATTAGCATATTTGCGGCCACCCCTTGACCCATTAGGAATGAGTCCTAGAAAGTGAAAATCTGATCATTAGGTCAAAAGTTATTCAGGGTGGTCCGTTTTTTTTTTTGGCTCATTGTACACTTAATGTACAACAATTTAATCTTAAGTTGATGTAACTGTGGAAAGCTGAACATCAACTTCAAACTGAACATCGTCATTTACAAAAATGAAAATTGGGAAATTTTTTTTTATAGAAGTAAGCTGAAGATTAAAGAAAGTCCTCTTTATACATTCAAAGGGGAAGGTAAAATAGCAAATACTTCATAGATTATTTTGTGCCATTTTACACATAACTCACATGGATCATTAATGAACATGAAAATGAATTTTTTTTTATTTCAAAAGAAGATTTTAAATGTTATTATTAATTAAATAAAACTACAATATTAGCTCTATTAAATTAGTATAAAAATTATTGTCTTCTAGAAAGCGCCATTTTATAAAAAAAGAGCATTTTATCTGCAGCACTTTCCGCTTGCCTTTCAAGTTTCAACTTGTTTTCTAAAAAAAATTTTTTTTGTGTGAATATTTTTGAGTGAAAAATGATAATTTAAAAATTTGAGTTTCATAACATATTTTACAAATAAATACGACATAAAAATTATTAGACAATTATTACTGCTGGAAATAATTTGAAAATATGTTATAACAGAAACTGAGCAGTTCGAAAAGTACAATAAAAATAATTATGTGACCAATTTTGATGACTTGACATTAAAATAATTTTAAATATAGACATTAATATAGTCCTTATAGAATAATAAAAGTAATTCAAATTATAAAACATTGCTTTTATACGGCAATAAAAATTATAATTTATTTTTGAAACTAATTTTTTTGAATTTAATGTAAATTATTTTTCAATTAAAATTTATCCTTCAATATAGATTAGAAAAACAATACATCAGAAATAAGTTATCAAATCCACAAATTAAAAAGTAAAAAAAAAAAAAAAAAAAAAATAAAAAANAAAAAAAAAAAAAAAAAAAAAACTCACTTGTAACTATTTAATACCATATCATTGACTCCAACATGCTTGTCATCTGGGTTCATCAGTTCTCTGAACTATGTAATAATAAAAATAATTAATCTAATTTTAATTGTTTAAGAAAATAAGAAGTGAAAATAAAGGTTAAAAATAATCAAAGTAAATTAATTATATTTCCATAGCCACTTTTACATACATTATATTCAAGTTTGTGAATTGTGCTTAACATTTATATTTAAAACAAATTTATACAGAATTTCATTTATTAACGATATTAGGTTAATTGGAAAGTTATTGCTTTAAAAAAAAACCCAAACAATTCCATTGAAATCCTACTGTTATATATCATACTTGATGAGTCCACAAACAAAAACCATCTACCAGAATCAAACAAGTTTTTTCGCAAACAAACCTCGCTATAGCAGTTAACAAAATATATATTGAAAGGATGGCTCAAGTGTGAGATTGTCTGCAAAACATACAATTAAGTTCTATGTTGGGAACTAAACAAAATTACTTACCAAACAATAATGTTTGTTTAAGTAATTTTGTGAACTAGTGAAATTAATTAATCAAAATATAATGAGGAAAAACCAGACTGCAAGAGGGCTAGAATTAATATTGCCCTGTCAATCATTTTTCATCATTAATTTGCTTCCTATGGAAAAAATCCAACCCTTAGATTTTTTTTTAAGTCCTTAGGTTTGAATGGTTCAATAGCAGTAAAAGCAAGCTTATTTGAGTAATTTCTTTTTGATCTTGGTTCCATAATATATCTTCTTGGGTTTGTTGATTACTTTTTTTGGCAAAAATTGCTATCTATATCTCCATATGGTTTTTAAATCCCGATATTTTGAAGATGATAGCATTATGATATGAAAACTGAATTTTGAGTTGTGCATTTGAGCAATTTCTTTTGACAAGCTCAATTAATAATGATTTTACAGTAAGTCCATATGGTTTTGTAAATTTTTATTTTTAGTTATTGCCATGGATTTTGCAAAATTTAATGCTATGGAGGATTGCTATAGACGCGCCATGGTTTTTAAAATTGACTTTTTTATATGATATTATAAGGATGCCACATTTTGGTACATTACCTTTAGTTTAAATTTGATTTAGCTCTTTTTTTTAAACACAAGTTGAAATTTCAAGTTGAAACAAAAATTTTCAGCTTATCAGAGGCTTATAAATTTTAGAAACCTGGATTTTGGAGGTTAAACTGTTCATAGTTTAATGGGAATAGCCCTAGAAGAAGCTATACTCCATTAAATTCAAACAACATAACGTTCAAAAGTTATCTGTATCTTATAAGGATTAAATGGCTTAAAAGAACAAAATCTAATGATACAGCTTATAATAAACATACCACATTGTTATGTTTGGCTTGTTCTAGTGAGCAATAAAATAGAAAGCATCTGCATGGTACTTTAAATTTCTGAGCTACTTCAATATATCTGTAAAAATGTATATTTGATGTATTGAAAATGTAAAATAAAAATACAAACAAACTGAAATGATTTAATGAGACAAACCTTTTTCTACTTTCTAAATCTGGATTCGTATTATCAATCACAACTTTTTGGCCATTACTAAGAGCTTTCGATGCTTCTGATACACACTTCTGCCAAGTGCCTAAAGTATCCTGAAAAATAAAATAAACAAAAACCACAATAGTGTTTTTAAATTAACAATATACAAAATTGAACATGATATAATAGATATATATACTTATATTATTGACTTATAAGAAATTAGAAAGTGCAGTAAAATGCCATTATCTGACATACTTATGGCCAAGGATATGTTGGAAAATTGAAACTGCCGGATAGCTGGCAACTTTTTCTAATAAATTATTTAAAATATATTAACATTAAACCATGAAAAATAAACTGAGACAAAGTTTAAAAAACAACATTTAATTATACAAAGTGTTTTTTTTTTAAATTGAAATCTTTTTATCATAGATATCAATACAATATCATGAAGAAAAAAAATCAATGATAGATTTTTCTTTAATTGTTATTTCCTAGCAGCCATATTTCTGATTTGTCTCCAATAGTAATTAGATGACATTAGATTTTTTTTATTTTTAAAGTCTCTCAAAAGACTGGGTTGATTCAGTGGTTTTAGAATCACTAATGTGACACATATTCTGCATAATCATGAGTTAAAAATTTCTTCCATCATATTCCGATTTCTCACTCTTGGATCAATAGAGCTTTAGGTGCTGTTCTATTTAACTTGCTTTAAATAATTACATCTCAATGCTATTTCTCCACATATAATTCTTAATGCAGATTAACCAATCTAGAACCAGTATCATACCTGAATGGAAGAGGTGTTGCATAATCATAGAAGTGTTGTATAATTTGTCATAAGATAATTGGAGTTCAAAGGGGATTGGCACACTGAGACAGACTACAAATAATCTGATAACAAAAATGCCATATAAATAATAAAATCTCTATCATTCAAATTAATTGGAGCTAAACCTATTTTGGCCACAATGGAAATACAAAGAAGAATTACTATAGCCAATAACTGTTTTAATGGAATTCGAAAATACACAAAATCTAATGTAATTCATAGAAAAACAAAAGTTTTATTATATAAATCTCTTATAAGATCAATTTTAACATATGTTTGTGAAACCTGGACCATATCTTGTATGGATGAGGCTATGTTGGGTACCTTTGAGAGAAAGGTCTTGATCACAAAAAGAGTTTTCCGTATCACAAAAAGAGTTTTCAATTCCAGATCAGTTGGCACACAAAAAAGAGGCAGGCCAAATTTAAGATGGAGAGATGGCCTAGAGAAAGACCTTTTGGTCTTAAAAACTAAAAATTGGAAAAAACTAGAAAAAAAGGTTAGTCTGGAAAAAAACTTCTTGAGAAGGCAAAGGCCCACCCTGGGCTGTCGAGCCATTGATGATGATGATGATGAAACCTACTTTGGATAATAAATTTATAGATAAATTCAAAGATAATTGAAATCTATTATTCAAATCACTTATCACTGAACTAAAAAAGTTTAGTATCTCACATGCACAAATTATTACAGTAAATACAAGGTAATTTTATTTCCAAGAAGAATTGTCCCATGAAAACTTTGTCATATATTCAATAAAAAGGGAATTAAAAGGCAGGCAAAATATTAGACTACAAACATCCTTAATTTTTTCATATATCATAGAAAAAACCTGTTTATCATATAATAAATCCATAAAGATACAAAAATTAAAATTCATAAGTATATAACATTTGCATGATCATGGGTGATATCTTTAATCCTCGGTATTTTTTCCAGTCATGAAACCTGTGATTCGTTGCAATGTAAATAAATAATGGATGGGGAAAATAAAGTGTGTGAGTTTCAGATCTACGTTTGCATTCATGTTAGAATGTAGAGGTTAGGTTTGGAATTTTTTTTTTTACACAATTGTAATTTGAAAATAAAATTGAGCCACTTAAGTCTTCCATGATAAAATGTTTTTGAACACAAATGGTTAGCTTATCAAAATAACATTTTTCTTTTATAAACTATTTCTTTTAACTTAAAGAATAACTCTCCTTTTTAACAAAATTCCGACAAGTACATTATTTTTCATAAACATATTAAGTACTGTGATGGCTGTACTTTCTTCAAGTGGATTAAAAATAAATTTTTATACGTACTCCTCTCTGTTAATAGAGAATTTATTTGAGAACAACTAAAAATTAATTTAATCATGTTAATTTAGACAAAATTCGATTTGATGTTTAAATAAAGAACATCAAGAGTGAAGAACACTACATATCATGAAGTAAAAATATGTAATGTAATATTTAAATGGTTCCAATATATATAAACCTTTATTTTACTATAATTAGTAAAATAACTACAAAACTATGCTCATTAATGAAATCTTATGAAATGTAGATTTAAAATATGTTTAAAAAATCATTGATTTTTTTCAGCATTCAATAAAAACTACAAAATATTCACTATATTAGATTATTATTAAATTATGTTTAAAAATGCGGGGAAAAATACTATTTGTACAATAAAATGAAATAAATACACATTGTTACGAAATTTAAACATCATAAATTTGAAATTTGCTCATTGTTATTTTGTATACAAAATGATTTTAAATCTTTTTCATCAAACAATCTCACAATTTATAGCACAGTTCATGGGATAATGCCTTATGTTTTCAATAATCTCTTTTATTTTATTCAAATAAGAAAGCTCCATGATAGAAATATTTAGTTTTAAAAAATTAGAGAAGATAACTTGTTCGGGATTTTAAAGTTCAACAGAATTATGATAAAATATTCATTTTACACAACAATTACTGTAATGTATAAAACAGAAGAAACATTTAAACATCAAGAACTTAGATGTTACTTACCCTGTTTATATGTACATATCCTTTTGGTATTAAATATGATAAAGCAAAATGAGATTTACCAGCTAGAAAAAAACAAACAATGTAATATGCTATATGTCAGTATAGTAAATAAAAAACAGATCTTCCAACAAAACAATATAAAATCAGAAAATTTTATACAAACAAATATTATAAAGCACCTAATTTTTTAAAATCTATATTAAAAAGCAGGTTTTGCTAAAACAATTTTCCTACACAGAACCGTTAACTCTTATGAACATGAAATTCAAATTTAAAGCATAAAACACTCTACTTTGTCATCTGCAAATTATAATAGTGATCCCATGATAAAACCCAAAACTGTAACGATCATTTCAACAATTTTAAAATTACACAAAATTAAGAGGACAAATCATTTAGGCATTTCTGCCTTTTTTTTTTAAATTATAAAATGCTTTGCTTAATCATTTTTTCTAAAAATTGAAACAAATCATTTAATAGCCTTTCAAGTTTAACTTTTTTAAAAGGGGCTGCAAAAATAAAAAAAATTGTTGCCTATGCTCTAATTACTGTAATTTTGAATTGCAAAGCACTTTTGAAAATAGATTTTTTTCTTTCCAGAATTGATGTCCGGGAAAAGATAGTGAATTCATGTTATTTATATATATAAAAAATGTGACTTATAGAATTTTGGTTAACAGTAAAAAGAATAAACGTTTTCCGTCTGAAAGTCAGTTGCTAAATACAACATTTTAAGTAAAATTTTAAAATTATCTAAAGTTGTTGTAAAAAAGATATTTGACTGTATTTAGTACAGATAATAGAAAATAGGGTCAAATAACATATTTGGGAAACACTACAGACAATTTAGATAAATTCCTTACAAACATCTGATTGGGTATTAAGAAAATAGATTATGTTCCTTAAAAATGTTAGGGAGTATTATCTAAATAATTTAATTATATATTCATTGGATAAATGTTATGTTTTTTAACCAAGACTCTTTTCAATGAAAAATCTGTGGTATAATATCTGTATGAATTCGGTTTTGAAAAATCAAATACTTGAGTGATCAAACACATCAATAAAAGTTAACGCCAAATCATATGCTTACATACAGTTTAAGCGGTGTAATTTGCACGAGATACCAATACTGGAATACTGGTTCACATATGCTACAACACACCTAAATTATTTTCGCGTTTGAAAATACTCTTGATAATCATAGTTTTTAAATGCCTAATTTTTCTAAAAACTAAAGCTGGAAATAAAATATAATATAAACCTGTTTTAAAAACAACCAAGCAAAACAGAAGATACTTTAATTGTTCAAAAAAAGATGCAATACATTTAATTGTATTGTAATGGACTTAAAAGAATTTTTTTAAAACTATATCACATACATAACATAGTATTAACAGTTTAAAATAGATAATATTAAAAATGAATAAAAAAAATTAAAGGATTACTTTATTAGAAAAGAAGGTAAGTATGAAGTAAAATAAAGGTAAGTATTTAAATGAAACTAACCTGCTGGAAATCCAACAAACACAACCATCTTAAAAATAGAAATAAAATAAAATTAAAAATGTAAAATAATAGATCACAAATAAATAATATCAAAATTATCACCTTTCCTAATTTCGTGCAAAGTTAAATTTAGTTTAATTTTCAGAGTTTCATGTATTGGTTTTTACAAATTATATTGTAGCACTTGTTTATTGATAAAAAAAAAAACCCTAATGGATATGATTTTTTTCTATACTATGAAGTTATGATTCTAATAAAGAAGATATTTTATTGAATTTTAAAAAATAAAATAGAAAAGAGTAAAAATAATTTAGAAATAAAATTTAACAAAATTTCTTAAAGCAATTTTTTCTCTCCAAATATTGAACAGGCAAGAGTGTTAAATTAACAATTTTGTCAATTAAACAAAATGTCAATTGAGTAAAAAGAAAGGAAAAAAAAACAGAACTTAACTTAAATATTGCACAAATCAATCTAACAAGCATACTGCTCGGGGAAAATTTGTTAACACTAAGAGTTAGGAATCCAAATAGAGAAAAAAAATTGCTTGCATTGGATGAACTAAATAAAAAAATATTAATAAGAATTAACTGAAAATATTTAACAAGTTAAATGTTGGTGAATTTTTCACTCTGGCCATAGCACAAAATACATTTTTAAGAAATTGGATACAGTAGGAAATGTGTGTTTAAGAAAATGGATATAGCTCCAAATTCCTATTTAAGAAAATGGACATAGCTCAAATTATGTGTTTAAGAAAATGGACACAGCTTGAAATGTGTGTTTAAGAAAATGGGTATAGCATTTTATTCCATTTTTCAAATTTCTCTCAGGAGAATTGTACTTTTGAAAAGAATAAACTATTGAATACAAATGAATGTGCTATGTGATGTGGTCCATTAGTATAGTTTTAGAAATCACTTAGTAACTTAACACACTTTAATAATCACATTTATATTAATCACTTTCTATTTTTTGTTTAAATTAGACTTTTTAGAAAAGACATTAAAAATCAACAGTTCTTTACACAAGGTTGTTGCAGGTCCCATAGAATTATAATTATTAAATTGATATCAATTGAATTTAGATTTTTTCAGAACCATTTAACTGTTTAGTGTTCCAAATGCCTGTAAAGTTACATCTGTAATACACCCAGCCACCATGATCTTAAAGTCTGGGTATTGGTATTTCTCCTTCGAAGAGTTTTGGAGGTGACCACAGAAGGGACTTTAGGCTGATGATTATTAAAAATAAATATTAATAATACTTTTGTATAAGATATTATTATTAATTTACCAATTTAAATAATATATTCATGCATCAGAAAGAGAACTTTAGTTCTTCAATCAGATTAATAATTAAAAAAATGGGTTAATTAATGAATATCTGTTATCATAATTCATTTCTGAAAAATCGTTCTTTTTGTTAGAACAATTCACGAGTTTAAACTTATGTTTGTATATTATGCTATTTTTATTTCATTTTTTGCGACCACTTAATTTGAATTTACTTTTATTCTTTCCCATTATATACACAAACACACAATCAAAGCTCTTGTAAATAATATTGCCATATATGCCTGTGCATATAAAAATTCTAATTGAGCATGAAAATATTTAATTAGAAATACCAAATAAGCACCCCCTCAACTTTTGATGAAAATTATACTCAATGGAGTAGATAAAAACAAAAGGGATAAGATATGCATAAGATATATATAGATTATAGATAAGTATATATATGTGTAGATTTTGAATAAGAAATCTTATTTGTGTGACCTAAATATTACTGATTTACTTGTATAAATAATAAGTTTCAAAACAAAATGGTTTTAATGCTTTAGCCAAGTATTTTTCATTTAAAAAGTTTAAATCAATCACTCTGTATAAAGGATTTAACAGTTGAAATTGCAAGGCGAAAGAGAAACATAATTTTTAATATCTCTTCCTTAATAGCTGCAAGATTTTCTGAGCCCTGATGCATACAGTAAAAGATTTAATTTTACATGAAATTATCCAAAATATTTACAAATATATTATTAATATTTATTTTTAATAAATATCAGCCTGAAATCTCTTTCCCAGACACCTCCAAAACTCTTTGAAAGAAAAATACTCCTCATTGACAATTAATTAATAAATATTTTGTTTACATAAACTCTTAATATTAAGTTGATGTGCTTTTTATTCCATTAAAATAATTTTATTTTTGAATAGAATAAAAAGTATTTTTGAATGGAATAAATATTTTTATTGATTTCAAATATTTTTTTTCTACAAAAAGAGAGAAAAACTAAAATTTATATACTTAATATATTGAAGTAATAAAAAAGACAAAATATTCAATCCAAAAACATGAGAATTTTTTTTGAAAGAAAAAATTTAAAAGCATAACTCATCATTTTAAATCATCTAAATTTAAGTATATTCTTGGCCACAGCAAAAAAAAAAAAAAAAAAAAAAAAAAAAAAAAAAAAAAAAAAAAAAAAAAAAAAAAAAAANAAAAAAAAAAAAAAAAAAAACTAATAATAGTTGTATGATTTGACTATTTTTATTTGTGTATTTAATCTTTCGCCCTGTTATATTCAGGCACAAAGATAATATCTAGAATTAACAATATTCTGCATAACAATATAGAAGAAATAAAATAAACTTATTGAAAATTAATTGCTTACCTCAGAACTGGAAGCAAATATTGTATCAGAATTTAAATCTTCTTTAGGTAACGGTAAGCATTTCACAGCAAGTGTTGTAGTCCGTATATTTCTCTGAAAAATGAACATAAATAATTATAGAATTCATAATTAAATTTTATTTCTACATTATTTCAATTGCTGTAGAGTTTTATTTAGATGATTTTCCTTGGCTAATTGTAATAAACAAAGAATTATTTTTTCTAAAAAAAATAAAATAGAAATTTTATTATGAAAATGATTTGTTATTAAATATTAAAATGATTAAACTAGGTAAAATATTATTGTATTAAATTTTTTTTTAAATTCTTAATAAGAATTAAGTAGTTTTCACTATTTTAAAAATTTTAGAAAAGAATATTAACCTAAAAAAAATCACGAAAATTGAGATAAAAATTCAATTTAATTTCTTAGACAAGCTAATTATGTACTATTTTGTGTGTTGAAATGGCAACACTAACATACCTTCAAGATATGTATACAAAATATTGGATACCGCCCAAAGATGCGTTCTACTTTACTATTCTATGTAGTTATCTTGCAAATCAATGGGTGTTGCAACTAAATTTTTATAAAAATAATTTCAAGCAATTGATAGAAGACTTTTTTTTTTTACTATAGCCATAATTTAAAAAATCAACATCAATGTATTTTAATTATTAAAATGCAATTATGTTGCTTTAAAATTCCCTATTAATTAATTTAAAAGTTTATAATAAGCATATGTATCAAATTAATTAAAATATGAATAGTTATTTAAAGAAGAATAAAAACTTCTTCTAATTAACTTTTGTAAAAGCAAAAAATAAAACATTTCTTTCTTGACAGACTTAATTAAATGTAAAAGAAATTACTAAATTATTGTTTTAATTGTTTATTTTTAACCAACAAACATAAGCATAAAATTGAAATTTTAGTTGTTTTTGTTTTGTTTGCTTTTATTGTTGATTTTTATTAACCAAAAAGCATGAAACAAATGATTTTTTTTTTCAAAGTAGAAATCAAAATGTTAAACTTAGAAAACTATTTGTATTTCAGAAAATCAATTGATAGTTATATATTAATTGATTATCCGACTGATCATTTGCAATACCTACCTAAAGAGATCTTTTCACTTGTTGCCTTCCCAGCCGAAAGACCAGTTTACCCCCCTTTTTATTCAATGAGTAAGTTATGAAGTTCAATGAGAAGATAAATTAAGAAAAATGATCAATTATGAAATGCTTGGTCCATTAACAGTGCAAATTTTGAATCATGAATTGCTTAAGTAGCTTTGAGTTAGTTTCTATGTTTCTAATAAAATTATAGCCACTTTTATTTTTAAAAAAATAATGAAGGGGGTAAGGTTGAGTTTCAACATTAATCAAATATAATTATATTAATTAATATATCATGTTTTATCTTTTTTTATATATATAATTTGTAAATTGTTCTGGGGAGTTAGGGAACTCTATAAGAAAGCTACTACTGTCAACGTTATTATAGTACAATAATTCTGTTAATTTTTAATCTTGACGTAAGAATATTGTCTAAAGAAAGATTTAACCACTTCCTTTCAAACACTATTACATTAATCTTTTCTTCATAATATCAATTTTCCCCAAAACTTATCAAAGTCACAAAAAATTGCTCATATTTTTGGAAGTGGTAGATCTAAAATAATTGGTTGGAATTATTTATGTAAATTGATTGGAGTTATTTATTATCAAATATAAATATATAACAGGTGAAAAAAAAGTCAAATATGTTTGGTAACACTGTGTCATCATCAGTTATGTTTACTTAAAAGGTAACATAAAAGTTATAATTAGTAATCTAAAAAATTTAAAGCTTATTTAAAACGTAAAAGATAATTAAAGACAAATAAATTTTTTGATACCACATATAAGAATCAGTATCTGAACAAAGTAATAAGATGTCTCTGAATTTTATGTCTTGGTATAGCTACTGATGACGCCCGGTGGCTGAGTTGTAGTGCTTCGCGCTCCCGTGCCACAGGTCCTGGGTTCGCTCCTTGGGCCGGGCAAGGGTGACTCAGTTTTTCATCCTTTCAGGCGGTTGATAAATGAGTACCAAGCATGCTTGGGAACTAAACACTAGGGGGTTTTGCGTTCGGCTGACCACTTGACCGGAACATCTGCTCCTGCACCCCAGAGCCCATGGTCAAGAAAACTGAGATAAGCACAGTAGGCCTTGGCCCTCTATGGGCTGTCGCGCCACTGAGTTCAGTTTAGTTGATAGCTACTGATGCTTTTTAAAGATACTGGAACATATTTTCTCGTTTTACTATATTTATTAGTACTTACTATATCAGGGTGGCCACTCAAATCCGATTTCAAATTTCCCTGATTTTTCCAGGTTTTCCAGATAAAAATCATAAAATTTCCAGGTTTTTGTTTCTTTTTTCATATAAAGTATAGGATGTGTACAAGAAAAGTGTCGATATTATAAAATATTTTATTCAAAATGTTATTTTTTTAACATATCATCTTGAAAAAAATAATTTNTTCGCGTTCGGCTGACCACTTGACCGGAACATCTGCTCCTGCACCCCAGAGCCCATGGTCAAGAAAACTGAGATAAGCACAGTAGGCCTTGGCCCTCTATGGGCTGTCGCGCCACTGAGTTCAGTTTAGTTGATAGCTACTGATGCTTTTTAAAGATACTGAAACATATTTTCTCGTTTTACTATATTTATTAGTACTTACTATATTGTTTTCTGTATAACTGGTTTCAGCACAATACTATCACTCCTTCCTTATATGAAAAGATAATAGCAGTTATGATAAAAATAAAATGCAACACTTACAGGATCAAAAAGAGGCATTTTATAGTTAGCAGGTTTGTGTCCCAAGAAAAACTCCTCCGGAGTGTAAAACTGCAGGCCAACATTTAAGGCAAACTGTAATATACCAAAAATCACATAAATATTTTTACATTAAATTATGTGTGCATAAAATCAAGCTTGAATTTGTAATTTAACATAACATTATGGCAAATTTTCTTAAAAAAATTTTTTTTTTGCTTGAAAGTGAAAAAAAAAAATCTTTACAAAATATTTACTTTCAAGATTATTTTTGAACATTTAACTTAAACTGAAATATACCAAAACCACATCAATATATGAATTTTATATTAAAGTATGCGCACATAAAAACAACTCTAATTTGTAATTTATCACAATAACACAAAAAATTACTTTCTAAAACTTAAAGTGAAACATTTTCTTTTACAAAATATTTAGTTTTGAGATCATTTTTTGATTATTATTTTCAGATTTCATTTTACAACATTAGTTATCATCATGAATTTAATTATTATAATATCAATTGTTTATTGACTAAAATAGAGGTATATGCATTAAAACAACTAAAAAAATTTTTTTTTTAAAGAAATTGAACAAATCATAAGGATTTGAAAAGAAACAAGTTATCTAGACATTTTCTATGAAGAATTTGAATGAAGTAGGAAGAGGAGGAAAAACAATCAAAGTCATTATTTTCTCAAAAAAATGTAGTTTAAGATTATAATTGTAAAAATACTGTGGAAAATCAGTACAGATTTCAGAATTCATTAGGTAGGCTTCGTAAATAGATAAATAGTTTCAAACAAAGGAGGAAACCAACACTTTACAAGCATAATTAAGCGATCATTATTGTAAGAAATTTTTAACTAAAATATTTATAACAAGAAATTTCTAACTCTGATGAAAAAATATAATGTTTCAATTTATTTCAAGTTTAATGTTTCAATTACACTTACAAGTCTATCTGCACAAGAAAAGTCCTTTTTCTTTTTAGGTGCCCAATTATCCGGCCTGCCAGCAGCATCTATAAAAACAATGATGAACATTAAACCAGGGTGTGTAGCCAAATTATTCAACAAAAAATAAGCACCTTTTAAGCACTTTTCAAGTACTCAAAAAATATTTTTAAGCACTTTAAAAAATATTAATTAGGCCAGGTTGGAAAATTTTTGACAATTAACGGTTTTATCTTGCTTTAACTGTCATGTAAAAAAAAAAAAATCCTTTTGGCATTGTTTTTGACAATTGTCAAAAATAATGAAATTTTGAATCATGTAAAACGAATGGCGTTTTCATACGCTACGGATTGACAATAGGCTGAAATAGATTGAGGTTGAATTAATTCTGAAAGTGTTGAATATAACAATGCGAACTGTGTCTTTTTGCATAATATGAAGCGAAAATCAACATAGTAAAGGAAAAATTTCAATTTGAAAAAGGGAAAATTAAGCATTTTTTAAAAACACCCAATGAAAAAAAGCACCTTTAAGGGCTTTTAAAAAAGGAAGATCGAAAATAAGCACCTTTAAGCACTTTTTAAAAATGATACGCACTCTGTTAAACTATCAACTACAATAAAAAAAGTAATTCAGACTTAAGAACCGATTTCATAGTAGCAAAAGGCTTTTCATTATCGTATTTCTATAGTGGCAGTGATAAAATTTTTTAAACACAATGCAATGTGCTTTACAGTGTAGAAAATCAAACAGATCTATTGCTAAATTTTTTTTGTTGTTATATTTGAACTAAATATGGCAATTTAAAAGCAGGTAAATATGTGTTTCTTACTTTTGTGTACATAAAAAAACTAGTACGATGTAACATTAACACAAAAAGTAGTAAAATCAAGAAATTAAGGTACTCTATATACATTTTACTGGTTTTTTGCAGGAAAAAATTCAAATAATCATGAAACACGAATAGTAAAATCATCGTAAATGACATAAAGCTTAACAATTTTGTTGGTTTATACAGAAATTTATCCAGACATGAACAAATGATACATAAAAAAATGCCTAACATTTTATTTAAACTATAGTGACTGTTTATCAACTTGTAAAATTGGTTTGTAAGTATTAAATGTTTTTTTTTAAAAATTTATTTAGTATTTAAAAATACTTTAAAGTTTTTTTTTTTGTATATATTGCTTAACTATAAGATAAAAGAAAATTTTGGGGACTTGTTTGGAATATTTTTTATACATATTTTAATAAGAGGACTCAATTAGTTCTTACAATGTTTTTTTTAAAAAATGTAACACTTTTTATATTTATTGAATGAAAACTTTGAGAATATATATGCAGACATGAAAAATGCAGCATTACAACTAAAATTAAAAGAGTATTTTAAATCATAATACCTCCAACATAAATGCTGGATTTAACATCAATAGAAATTCCCTGATTACATTTCTGGAGTAAGTAATCCCACATTCCAGTGTTAGGCTTCCTGTATTTTCCATGGCCAGTGGACACCAAAGCCTGTATTGGAACTCCAAGTTTCTGCACGATTCGCTGAATCTTTTTCTTAAAGTCTGGAGCTGACGTTTTCCCCCGAGAAATACCTTTCTGGCATTAAAAATAGAAAAGAATAAGGATAACATCCTTTTCAATGCATATAAAAGAATAAGTTAGTGTCAATAATCTAGTGATAAAATTAATATGAATTAGGAAGAGAAGTACAATGCAACTCAAAATTTAGAAATCCAATTCTTAAACCCCATTTTAGGATAAGTCAACAAAAACTATAGCCTTGCTGTTTGTTGATTTTCAGAGGAATCGCAATACTTACATGTTTCCTAATATATAAAATAACAATAGAAGATAAATCAGGATTTTCAAATACCAGATAAGTTGACAACGTTTTAACGTTTTGACAATTTTTTTATTGTATAAATAATAACTGCAAAAGTCAGTAATTTAAAAATTTATTTCACACATATTTTTTGCAGGTTGAATCTTTCAGCAATTAAAATCTCTTGGGTTTAATAGAACATTTATATAGCAAACTATAAATCGATTACTGGATAACTAAGCTGTAAAGAGAGACCCAAGTCTGCTCATCCATGCTCAGTTTGTACAAAAGAGTACATTAAAAAAAAATTTGTGAAAAGATACGAAAAAATCTACAACACTCTGTTACTAAAATGGCTGCTGAGGAGAATGTGAGTCGCAGAGCTATGCAAGTCATATTAAATGAAGACCTAGGTTTTTGCCCTTATCGCCAAAAATGCTGACAGAATAGTCTTTTTTGATGAAAAAATATTTTGCACAGAGGAAAGTTATTATGCTAAAAATAATATTGTATATGCAGTAACCTTTGATGATATACCTGAAAGTGTATGAACTGTTCAACGCTTTCAGAACAAGAATTCTGTAATGGTTTGGGATGCAGTGTCAAATAATGGAAATTTTTTATGACAGTACAGAATATTACAAAAACGAAGAACTGGATACACATTTATTGCCACATGCTGACAGATTGTATCCCAAAATCGATTGGATATTTCAGTAAGACTCTGCAATGTAACACTGAGCCAAAACAACACAGGCTTGGCTCCATGCCAATTATTCGAAATTTATTAAGCCAAAAAAGTGGCCCTTTTCTTCACCGAATCTAAATCCTTTAGACTACTGAGTTTGAGGGATTCTAGAGTCTATAGCTAATGCTAAGCAGCATAGAAGTGTGGACACTCTTACAGCCTCTTAATTGCATGATTGGGACAAATTACCTCTTAAAATGATTCGTGCCGACATCAGACAATAACATAAGAGATTATTTTAGTAATCAATGAAGATGGTAGTTGATTCGAATAAAATTTTTTTAAGGTAGACTTCCGTTTATAGTGTTTATCATGTTATCTATTCATTTAGAGTTGTGTATTTATGATTTTCTATTTAATATCTGTATAATAAAATGATTCGATATTTGTAACAGTAATTTGTAGCTACCTTGTACAATTTTTTTTTTTTTAAATTTATTCAACACAATAGCTAAGAATGCTTTTGAATATTTATTGATCTGAGTATTTTGCAAAATCTCAAAATGATTTTGGGCATAATATATATTTTGAAGCTATAAAATTTAAGAAAAATAAATGATAAATATTTATGTCTTTGCGCCGTCGTCACATCGAATTTCTTATCAAAATGTCAACGCAGAAAAATTTCAATCACTTTTTCAAAGACATTGCAATATTTATAAGTATAGTTTAATTTCATAATAAGCATTTGCGTGATTTTAAATTATGCAACATCTTAACTATGAATTCAATTGGTTTTTTCTATTAGATTCTACACAGTAAATTTTTCTGCTTATGCTTTCATTTTTTAAAAGAAAATATTATCATGGCTGACCTTCAAATCATATACTTGAGCAATCAATTTTTATTAATGTGCTATTATAGTGTGAAACTTTAATGAAGTGTTTGATCAATGACAATTCCGCCAGTGATCTAATTTTTGTGCTTCTGTTGATTCTATAGTTCTAATTACAAGACAGTTTGATGCAACTTTTAAATTTTTTCAATAGCATGAAATAATTATTATTCAGCTGTGAATCTCATTTTTACTGATGCTAGAAATTTATGCACTTTGCTGAACACATGCATGCTACCTTTCTGTATATTTGACACGTTTTAGCAAGCCAATCTTGTTAACAAGTGGCATCTAATAATACTGAATCTAATTATTAACTCATCCCAAATGTAAGTTCAGCAACAATGATTACATAGAAAATTTGTAGCAGGGAAAAGAAATAAATATGTATATGAGAAATCAATGCAAGAAGAAAAAACAAACATTATATTTAAAATGTTTACCTGATTGGTAAATATAACTATTTTATATCCCTCGTTGTGTAACTTTTTTATTCTTCCAGGAATTTCTGCATAAAAAATTCTGCAGAAGAACAAAATATGAAAAACTAGCATTAATATAACAAAATAGCTAAAACAATGCAAATGATAAATCAGTAAGAAAAAAAAAATTCCCATACAGAAAATATTTATAAATTATTAGATACAATTACACAAGTGATTAAGTGCAAATAAATTAGTAAAATTTGAAAATGTGTACTAAGAAATTTATTAAGCTCAGTTCAAAACTAACTTTTTTTCCTTGCAATTTTACATAGTAACTTCACAGTTCAAAGTTCGTTGAATTTTTAAAAACCATTTAGAGTGTTTTTGGCCACATGGTTACTCCTCTGATATACAGTAAGGTATTACAAGATATATCAATCAATTAATAAAATCCAAATGTGTGTTACATAGGTCCTATCATATTATATTTAGCTAAAAAAAATTTCCCAGCAAATTTTGGACAAACATTTTAGCACATATTCTCAATTCTGACTGTAGATTGTGAATTTTAAGTGAAGAAATATATTTGAGTTCTATGCTGCTTAAGAATGATGGACTTTAAAAGCAAACAATTTTTCATTTCTCATGGTTTTCAATATCTTTGGAATAAATTTTACCAGATTGGACACACTTAACCAGAAAGGGTTAAAAACGTAAAACAGTATAATCAGTTGCACAAAGTGCAACTGATTACACTGTTCAACTGTTTGAATAATTTAAATTTTTTATTGTTACATACATTATTGTAAGCACAAATCTAATTACACAAATTGTTTGAAATTTTTCTAGGAGGGAAAAATAGACAAAAAAGAAACAAACAAACAAACAAACCAAACAATATAGTAGCTTTTGCTCCGATGGTGTCTAAAAGCAAGACAAATGATTGGTAAGTTTTGGTTTATGGTTAAAAGTAGCTTGGGCTATATTATGCAAAATTCAAAAGAAATCTTAGAATATGTTCTTCAAAGCAATAAAATTAAACAGTGCTTATAAACTAAGTTCAGCATAAAAAAAAGTATGAAAAAGAACAAGAATACAAAACAAAAAATAAAAGACCAGCATTCTTTAGGGTCTCAGTAGCTAGGGTTTACATAAATCCGATTAACCTTTAGGGGGATTAAAAATTTTTGACAATTCTCAACTAAACATGGCTTTTAAATGTTAATTATTTATTAAATACTTTTAAAAAGAATCAATAAAGTTAATAAATAAATAAATAACACAAACTTCCAGTCATCTGTACTTGTTGGAAAAACTCGACCAGATTGTGTAGTTATGATGGTATGGTCCAAATCAAAAGCTGCAACCTGAAATGGAAATTAGTTTGATTTTTCTTAGAATCAAAGGCTTCTAAGACATTTTTTTCTCAATTATGGCATGGGAAATTATACTTTATTTTGTCCTTTGATGCCAGCAGGAGTAAAAATAAATATTTTGCTATGATCATACTCTTCCCAGCGATCCTGAGTTGATAAGGAATCAAAATCTCTCACAACCGATTGATGAAGTGTCTCGAGACTTGTTTCTTCATCAGCAATGCTCTCTTGCAGTGAAATATCTACATAAACACAACAGAATTAAAAAAGATATAGCTTAATTACATAATGTTACTTAATTACATATGCTTTATATCTAAAAAAAATAATATTAGAAGATTTTAGAAATATGCAACCAAATGAGCAAATTACTGGAGAAGATTAAGACATTGTGTCCTCCCGGCAAATGAAACATTCTATGTTAAAATACTGCTTAGATAAATTACTTACGAATTTCAAGTTTAAATTTAAATGAGTTTACTTTATTAATCTATTAATGTTTAAGTCACAATTGTTTAAATGCTTTTTGTAGGTTTATATTAAATGGTGGGAACAAAAAAACTAGTAGAAAAACCTGATGACGAAAAACATTTTTGTTTTAAAAAGATTTGAATCTTTTAATAATTTAAAACAATTTTTAAATAAAATCAAAATGTGAAGCAGTTTATGTGAAACAAAAGTATTTTCATATATTATAGCAAAAGTATTTCTTTAATTGTATTCATTAAAATATATCTTGAATATAATAATAAAAACTTAAAGAAAAAATGCTTATTCTGCTCACAGGCAAAAAATTACTTTTAGATTTATTATTTGATGAATGCCCTAATATCTACTATCTTCGATAAAATTTTAAACAAAAATATTTCTTATAAGTTATCTACATCAAAAAATAATCTCTAAAAGTTTGGGATGCCATTTTAGAACTGTTTCTAAAAAGTGACACTAACATTAGTGGGTCAATATTTAGAAGTATATGTATAACTTTCTAGAAAAGTCTGGATTTTATGAACATAAGCGTAGCGTGAAAATTATTTTGATTATTTTTTAGAATATATAATAAATACTCTAGAAATACACAGTAGGGCTGGACGATATAGAAATTTCTTAAATCGATATAATCAACCCTTTTATATCGCGATATTAGGTTATATCGATTTAACAANATATTGTCTTACATCGGTATAAAGCCCAGTCCTAATACACAGAGAAAATTTTATAAATGTCTTTAGTTTTAAGAGTTATTTTCTGCATTTAACAGAGAAGTTAATAACTATTATATTGGTAAGAACTAAATATTTATGTGGAACATGACGGACTCTGTAATACACTCAGAGCATATTGTAAAGTCTGAATTTAGATGTTTTATTTCCTTAAAAAAAAAAAAAAATCGAATTGAAAACATTGAATTATTTTATGAAAGTATTGATAAAATAACTCAAGTTATTAAGTTTTTATTCAATAAAAAAGGTTTCTTTCTAGTTTTTAAAAAAAATAATGACCTTTTAAGAAAATTCCGAAATTTTGAAAAATTATCAAGGGGAACATGCCCTTCGATGCTATGCCTATGCTTATGAACACTTTTGATCTATATTACCTACCTTCTTTGCTTGCAGAAGCTTCTGCAATGGATGGAGAACATTCTTCTTGAGGAGTTGATGTGCCATCATATCTAGGAGGAGAGGATGATAGTTTCAATTTTTTTGCAGTAGCACCTGGTGTTCTTGAATTGTGTTTATGTTTACTCCTTGTCTCAGGTTCAGTAGTCAAAAATTCTAAAGTGTACTTTAAATCACCTTCTAGTAAGTTGATGTTACAGCCATCAAGTACTTCCAATTCTTGATCTGCGGCCAATAGCCCGCTGTCTACTTCAGATGGATTGGTACCAAGCTGACGAATGATGGCTTTTTTGCTTTTATACAATGCAGTGATTTGTACTAAAAAAAAACAATGCAAGATTAAATTTCTAAAAACTAAATATTTTATTCTAACAACTAATTATGGAGATAGCTCTATTTCAACAGTAATACTGTACAATTCAAGTCAACTGCTAGATTCTTAGATTTCAAATAAATTTAATAAAATAACATTACATATATATATATATATATAAACCGGGCTTATTTTAAAGTTACTTGGAACAATACCATATCAGTTACTGATTATGGCAAATGAAATTGGCAACTAAAACTACCAGGTTCCTATACAGAGAATAAAGATATATATAGCCAAATTATTCAACAAAAAATAAGCACCTTTTCAGCACTCTTCAAGAACTCAAAAAATATTTTTAAGCACTTTAAAAAAATATCATAATTAGGCAGACTAGGAGAGTTCTTAACAATTGACGGTTTTATCTTGTTTTAACAATCATGTCAACAAAAAAAAAACTTTTGGTACTGTTTTTGACAATTGTCAAAAATCATGAAATTTTGAATCATGTAAAATGAATGACGTTTTCATACGCTGCGGACTGACAATATGCCAAAATAGATTGGGGTTGAATTAATTGTGAAAACGTTGAATCAAACAATGTGAATTGTTTTTTTCTTTGCATAATTCATAGCGAAAATCAAAATGGTAAAGGAAAAATCTCATTTAGAAAAAAGGGAAAATTAAGCACTTTTTAAAAACACCCAATGAAAAAAGTACCTTTAAGGGCTTTTAAAAAATGAAAATTGAAAATAAGCACCTTTTAATAACACTATGCCCCCTGTGCTAAAAGCAGGAGTACAGAAAATTCTCAGAGTCTAATGACTTTCCAGGACACAGTTATTTTAGTTTGCAATTTCCTCCAAAATCAATATTGAAGATTAATTTTCCATTACATTTTTAAACCAAGAAAAATTTTGTGACATATAAGTGACATATTTTACAAAAATAAAAGCTGCATTTTATTTCAGCTTAATTCCAAATAGGCTATCTGAATTTCACCAGAACCTTGTTCGCAGAATCAAACATATTCTACATCCCTGGCTAAGAGTATGTCCCATTGAATGATGCTTCTTTTTTGTTTCCAGCATCCCATTGCCCAGGTGATGTGTAGTAAACTTGGCACCAGTTTTTGGTCAGGTTTCAATATGGAAAAATTCCCAGTCACTATGAGTTTGCCTAATTATGTGATGTATTCTTTTAATTTCAGGTGTGACACTTTTTGGTTGTTACTGTCTCAGCACCGTTACCGATATCTTTTCAAAAAGGGAAAAATCAAATAACATTAAACGAAATAAATACACAAAACATTTTTGCTAAATTTCCGTGCATACAGATACAGGGGACCACATACAAAGTTATTTGAAATGTTTACATAATAATTTACTAAATTTATTATTATGTTTTAAAGGGGTAGACAGGCGCAAAAAATCTTGTTAGCGATAGGTATGCAAATCTATAGGAAGACTTGAAGGATTTATATCATTAGAAAAATTTTAAGACAACAAAAATTGAAAGTTTAAAATCGGAAGATTTCAGTATCGTGATCTGAGGCAGAATAATTACAAAGTCTTGGAAACTTCCGGCCTATTAAAGTAAATTATAACAATAAATATGATTTATTATACCTTGACATTTAGAGCATTTCCGATCTCGAATTCTTGTTTGAGGACCTCTACCAACAATGACAGGTGTCTCATTAGGAAGGATAACATCTCGAAATTTATAATTTCTACTACGTAAAATACATTGTTTTATGGACATTATAATAAAGAGTAATTAAGAGAAATTTATTGGCCTTGAAACAGACTGGAAAAATAAGAACTTAACGCAGGCACTGCAGAACTGGAATGACTTGTCATGATTTGTTTATAAACATTTAAATTTTGTTGGCAGGAAGTAGCGTTGCCATTTTTCTTAGTTCTTAAAACTTTCTTCTCTGCTTACGCTAATAAAGAAGCATTAAGGAACAATTCGTACTGCGTCTAATACACACACATGCGTGAGAAGGGAACATTTGCATATGCGTGAAGGATAAGAGAAATCGGGTTGTGACCACGCTGGAAGTGTGGGAGGTGGGTGGTAAACAAGTAAGGAAGCAAAGTGGCTTCATATGAAATTTGCTCCAATATTATTTCAGGTAGATAAGAAGCCGGAATCTAGTATTCAAAAAGAATAATCTATTTGAGCTTCTATTTTCCATTTACGACAAATGTACTGAGTTCCACAGTGGACTGATCGTTAAGACACGGCTCCCAGCAGATCACCGAATCATGTGATCAGTGTACGGCTGGGTGACCACTTGGATCAGTCTGCGTAGGGACAGAGGGTGTGCGGTATTGATCCTCGTTAAATTGTTCCACCGTAAAGTGCTCGACTTCGCGTGCAGGTCGTCGGGCTACTGAAGCGGGGGTGCCATCCCCTCTGCAGAGGATCAAAATTGTGATGGCATGTCTTCGGATCATCCTCAGGGATGTTTCACAGACCGTCGCCAATTGCCCATTGTGCAGCTCTAGTGCGACGTAAATGAACTACAACTACAAATGTACTGATAGTAATTACCACTTTTGGTGTCAAAGAGGACAGATAGCTGGAATGTGGTGTAGCGTTGTTTTTACATAGAAATTTCATGGGTTAGAAAATTTGTGGAGGATATAAAGTGAGTTGCATGATAAGGAAACAGTGATGAGGTGTGCAAAGTTGGTATGGAGCTGCCATTGCTATTATAAGCAGTTCTTCTTTAAGAACACATTTGTTTACTTTGCATACATTTTAATTTGTGTCTTTTGATGTATATGCCAAATATATATATATATATATATATATATATATAAAAATAAAAACAAAGAGAAAAACGAAGAAAATTATTAAGTNCACTTCGCCGACATAATTATTTCGCTGAACAATCAGTTCACTAGCACAAACAAATTAATTTTGATTCATTTTTTAGGAAACTTTCTTTATTAAATGTTTACATTTTTACGCTGAAAAATGTGACTTTTAAACAGCATTATTCAGCTGTAATTATAAAAATATGCTATTAAATAAAACTTACTCTCAAGTTTGGTGATTTCATAGCTTTGACCTGTTGAAATGTTCCGAGTTTGGATTATGCCAACTTTAATTTTTATTTAATTTTTGATTTATAAAATATTCTTATTTAAGAATGGATTCACAAATTACTTGATGCTTGTGACAGTCTCTGGCTACTGTCCTAGATTTATTATTTTTTTATAGTCCTACATAAAATTATTATTTTGTATTTTTACGGTATTAATTTAAAATTTGCCATTACAATTATATTTTCCATACCACCGGTTTGGAAATAATTGTTTATATTATATTATAAAGTAAAGCTACATTGCAACAAAATGTTTACGCTAATGTTGGTTATTATAGTTGTATTATGACAAATATCGATTTAAAATGTATTCAGTAAAAGGTATTCATTGTAATTATTAATAAATATTTAGTATTGATTTCAATAATTATTCAAAGCATTTATTATCGTTTATTTACAACTGGGGTCAAAACTATTTTAAATATAGTTACTTTATTAACAATCATTACGTAGCCTTTTTCTACATTTTCATAGTATATAACTTTCTTTTTGAATTTTTTTTGCAAACTAAAACCTTTATAAAAAGATTAATACTCAATTACTAACTAACCCCATTCATAATTTTTGCCAGTGTTAATCACGTAATTAAAATATATATAGTTACTCTTGTAATCGATATGGATTTGAAATATAACCAAAATAAACGACGACAAATGAGACAATGAAAATTTGAAAAATACCGAAGCAAATTCAGAAGAAATGCAGCTTTGCTACTGTATTTTATATTGTTTTCTTCTGTATTTAATATTGCATATTATGTAACATATTCTTTTCCTGGACTTTGGCAAAACCTTTGGGGTACAGAGAGTGCAATTTTAGACTTTTGTCTTGCTCTCTCGATAGAAAAGGTTTTGCTTTTATGACTTCCGGAGCTGGTACCCCCTGAAGACGCCAGCTTTAGTTGTCATATTTATCCAATTTTTTTCAAATTTTCATTGTCTCATTTGTTTTAATTTCTTTTGGATTCACTGCTGCTAAGCGCGTTTTACCATTGGAAGTATTATTATTTTTAATTGCTTTAAAATTTTGAATTCTTTACTTAATATATTTGACGAACGACAATTTTTCTTTTAGGAACGTCTGTCAATTACTCTCCCTTATCACTGAGATGCAAACGCAGTAATTGAACTTATTACTTATCGAACTTACTAATTGAACTTATTGAATTTATTACATTACTTTCATTGTAATTATGAAGTAAACTTTAACTAACATCAACATTTAGCTTCGCTTTCTCATCCTTGGTCGTCATGTTAAATAAAAATTAATTTGAAAATGTACAGAATGTGTGATCATTTGAAAACTTACCACCTTGAACAACTTTTTTAATCAGTAGAATTTATTAAAATCGATGGAAGTCGTTCTCTTTTGGAGGCAGTAATTTAAAAACCCACGCAATGAGTTGAGGAATTTTCTGCCTCCCATAACAAATGACTAGGTGTTCCGCAGGGATAAAATATCATTTGTTTGGCGATACTCGAGGATCAAAAGATTGGTGGTAAGCACAGAGTTGTTACGAATTCTATCAAACAACACTTTCAAAAATATAGAATGAAATTCAATGTTTTATTCGAAAATATATTACAAAAACATAGTGATACATTAATCTATACAAAGTTAAAAGAAAAATAAATACAATGATAAAAGCAACTTTTACACCACATCACATCTCGTTATCTTCTTATTTGGAAATCTAGTTTGATGTCAGCAGTCACAAAAATTTTGTCGAATTGGTTGATTGAGAGATGATCTGCATTTAGAAGTTCTGAAGCTCGGGTATGTTCCAATACTCTTTTAAGCATTCGGGATTTCGAACATTGCTGACTTCGGGAATGATGTTGGTATTGACAATTTTTTTCACAATGCTCTCCATACGCTTTCCATTCAAATTATACTGAAAAAAGAAGAATATTCTCAATAAATATCCCATGGCATTAGAAATTTCAAGAGTCTTTTCTTGCTCTATTAATGTTTTATTTTAACTTATTAAATGGTAGGTTAGTAAGATGCATTTAATAAGCTAAAATAATGGAAAATAAGGAATTATTATATTCTAAATTCATGTTCTGATTTAAATATATTAATAATATTGATTAAATAGAGTTAAGAAGGGAACAACTTATGAAGAATGGCATGACTGTTCTCTTGCTCTATTGATCCTGTTCTATTACCTGGATCTATTCTTATTTTTTATGTATTCTTAGGGGTTTGAAGTAAACTTATTAGGTTTGATTTAACCTAGTAAGTTAAAATAATGTAAAATAAAGAATTATTGTATTCTAAATTCATCTTCTGATTGAAATATATTAATAATATTGAATAAATAGAGTTAAAAAGGGAACAACTTTATAAGAATGGCATAAGTGTTCCTTTGCTCTATTGATCCTGTTCTATTACCCGGATCAATACTAATTTTATGTATTCTTAGCGGTTTAAAATAAACTGATTATGTTTGATTTAAACTAGTAAGTTTAAATAATGTAAAATTCATGAGCAGTTTAAAATATATTAATCATGTTAAATGTAGAGATAAAAAGAAAACAATGCTTGAAGAACGTGAACAACAGCGTAAAACTAAAATTAATTTTTTCGAAGCAAGGAATCGTTTATTGGGACTTAGTGGAAAGGTACTAATATTTTTAAACGCAATTGCGCAGCTACTACCTCACCTTCACGAGAAATTCCTCTACACACTAGACTCACGAGTTGTTGGTTACTGTGGTTACGAAGATAAGTACCTTAGACTAGGGGTCTGGGATTAATCATTTTGCATTTGTTTAGGTTTGGAGAGTCAAGTTTTTTTTCGTTTCCCAGAACTTTCTCCCCCACAATAAGGTTTTACTCCTTAAATGGAAGCAGACCAGATTTTCACTCGAGAAGAGTTCTCGTGAAGGCTAGATAGTAGAGTGAATTGAAGTAATCGCGTGATTCCTGTTATAGTATCGATTCACAATTACCGGAATGTCTTTGACAGGCAAAATGACAGCAGGTACGTAGAAGATGGTAAGTTCCTTCAGAATGGTCTCTTCTATCTTTTTGAGCATAGCCTGGTCAAACTTGTGACCATTCTTCATTTTGATGAATAAAATGCAACGGCCATCTCCACTTGTGTTGCTCTGAGCAACAGCAATGTAGTCTGCAATCTCCTCAATGTCGTGAACTGGATAAAAACAAGGATTATTTTAATTAATATAGTATTTAAATAAATAGAATATTTATTTTATTTAAAAATCAATTTTTAATATGAATTTTTATAACCCTTAAAAAAATATGAAGCGAAAGAAAAAAGATCTATGCAGATGGCATTAAATCAATACTTTTTTTTTCCAATGGCAGGCACTGAATTTGAATCTTTGTCTATACTATGCCAGAATTGTTGCTCATTTCGCGTTACCCAGTGGGCATCTGTGAACCAAAGTCACGGAGGAGAGCAACATTGCCCACGCCACACTGCCACAAACCCGTTTATAGAGTGGGCCACATTCACACATCATTATCACACACAACAGAGGACAGCACAAAGAGAGAGAGAAACATCCATGCCCAGAGCGGGATTCGAACCCGCAGCCTATGGCTTCGCAGTCAGGCACGCTAACCACTCGGCCACCTGGCCGGCATTAAATCAATTTTTTGTGAGAAAAAAATGTTTCCAAGTTCTAAAAAATCATTATCAAGGTCGGGAAAAACAAAGGGGTGATTAAAATTATCAGAAATCAGTCTATAGGACTGGATTGTATTCACCCTTTGTCAGGAACCACCTTAAGGCTTAGTCCTCAAATTAACTGCTTTTTTAGTTTTCAATATCTCTTTTAATGTTCTTGACTTCTTAGAGGATTCAGCAAGGATTGGAAAGGTTTTTCTCAATTAATTAATAATTTACAATCATTCATGCGCATAGTTTTTTTTGTTTCATTTTTACAAAGGTTTACCATACAAAGTGAGGACATTTTAGAGATTATTACAGAAAAAAAGCATGCTTAGCGTGCGAAAGTTATAAAAAGACTAAACTTAGTAAAATAAAATTGTTATTTTACTTACTGGCCCAGTAAATCTCTTCAGAAACAAATCTTTCTCCATGTTGCTTTATTGTGTTGTCACTGTGAAATGGAAATAAAAAATTAGCACACTAAAAGAAAAAAAAATTAAGCTTCGTATAATACAGAGATTTAACACTTTCGCGTAGTGTCCTAAATTCACGACTTATGTTCTGCGCAAGCTCCGACAGAAGCGAGATTGGTTTGTTGTAAATGAGTTGCGCAGAACACACGTACGTAAATGCATGGGATGCTATGTGAAAGTATAGAAGTATATAAAGTATAGAAGAGTATAGAAAGCTTATTATGTCTTTTTTAAGAATTTATACACAGTCGCAGTCATAGAAAAGAAAAAGTTTCGTATAATTTATGAAATGATGTTTTTTAATTATGAAAAACATATACGAAACATAACTAATGAGGAAGAGAATTTTAAATGGAAAAAATATGAAATAGCAAAATAGTAATTAAAAAATTAAATAATCCTTTTTTCCAAATAAATATATTTTCTAATTCTAAGAACTTTACTTAGGTTTTATTTTCAGCTAGTTAATATGTAAATATTTATTTCTTACCAAAAAAAAAAAGAAAAGAAAAAAAGAACATCGCAGAATTCTGGCTATTTAAATTTCTTTTCTGTTTAAATAATTTGGATACATTAAACACATAGTAATATGCAAACTAGACTAGATTTAGATTGACATGGTGAACTAACATATTGTGTTCTCTCAACAGCATTTTTAAAAACTTTAAATAACGAGGAAGAGGAAAAACCAACGAGTACCAAAGAGTTAAAAAATCAGAGATAGAACTGAAATGTAGTTGCTGGTGTGTCGAAGAGATCTTTAAATTTTTCACTGGCAAGGGTGGTAGTATTTGTTATGCAAGCAAAGATAAAAGATGGAGACCGAGCAGCTGACAATCCATTTATTTCATTATGCTTTGCATAAAAGCGAAATCTTACGGAGGGATCGATTGCAAAGAGCCCTGTCCTTATCGATTTTCAAAAGCTATAGAACAAGATTCGATAATCAGTGGTATTTGGAAAGGTCAACAAAGCTCAAAAAAGCAAACAAATCTAAATGACACGAATCACTTTCTCGAGGAGTTGGAGTTATCATGCTGCTCGGTAACGTTGACCACGCTCACGGCAAGAACTTCTGCAGAAGTCATGGGCCTGGTCTAGGACTGCTGGCCAATGGGGGAGTGCAACAACAACAACACTTCTCCAGAAAGTCAAATAGAACATTTTGAGTCAGTCACCCTATAGGCTAGATCTGTCCGCTCTGAGGTCAATGTCTTCATGAGTTCAATAGAGCACTGAGAGGGCATCGGTTTCAAAGTCAAGACGAAGTCAAGGTGTGCGTATTCAACTGATTTGCACAACAATTGATGTTTTCTTTCCTACATGCGGGGTAATGTCTGGTTAATGTCAGCACAAATGTTGACAATAATTTGCATTTTTGGGGCCGGGATAGCCTGGTCGGTAGGGCGCTGGGCCCATATCCAAGAGGTCGTGGGTTCGATCCTCGCCGGCCGAAGACTCCCCGTGTAGTAAATGGTGACTGATGCACGTTAAATCTGTCGAGTCTCAAAGTCCTCCATGTTCCCACAACAAATCAATACCTCTGGGGGTACTGATCCAGGAGTTTCCTTGTCTTCTGGATTGGTTCAAAATTACAAGGCTACGGAGTTGAACGTAAGTAGTCGTAAACCCATGAAATTGGGTCGGCTGTTCAACGACGGTTATAAAATAAAATAATTTGCATTTTGTATTGAATAAATTGGATGAAATAACGTTTGACACCATATTTATTGATTGTACCTAATATTCCGACATGGTTGACATTGCAAAGATTTTAATTCTAGGATATTTTCTGAAGGCATGGAAGTAACTGAAGGAATAAATTAGTAAATAAAGTTTAGTTAACCCTCAATCAAATTATAAATAAACTAAAAGAAGAAACTTTTCATATTGTAAAAAGGAAATTAACACTGAAATTACCTTCTTCCAATTATAATAATTCCATTTGTATCAGGATCGATCCATGCTTCATCATTTTGAGCCCATACGTCTAAAATAACATTAATAGAATAATTATTCTAATCTCTTTAAAAATCGAAGAATATAGATCATAAATTTAGAGAGATATCCGTAAAAAAAGAGTCTCATGGATGAGCTATCATCAATGGTTATATATTTTTTTCTGGAAAAAATAACGTTAAAAATATTTTAGATTTTTTTATTTTCAATCATTTTTATTCCAAATTAATTCACAATTTACGATATGAAGTGCAGGATCTTAAACTTACATTAACATTTACATAAATAAGTTGATTCTCTATCATTCATATACACTAATGTATGCACTGATGTTGAAAATTAAAGGAATTTTCAAATTTTGTACATTATTTTTAGAACTACTTGGTAGATTACAATGAATTTAAGTATCAACATAGTTTGGCACAATAAAAAGTAAAATGATTATTTCGCAGTTATAATGCATACACATGTTCATGCGTAACACTCATCGTAGTCATAACGGAAGGTATAAAAAAGTGGTCCCATAATCGAAAAAAAATGCGTTAACAATGGTGAAAGTGTACTCTTACATACATGCTGGTAATAGAACGAGATTTAGTACTGTAAAGGAGGAGGTATAGAAGTTTGTGTGGAAACTGTCACCACTCGTCCTACAACACTCTTTTCTGGCCCCAGATGATTTTCGGAGGGGGATGTGAATTCTAACTACCCACCGTAGAATTTCTCAGAGATGTTAGAGTAAGGTCTGGAGAATCGGTCGGGCAAAATCAATCAGACAAATATTCTTATTTTCCAGAAATTCGTCATAAAAATTGGCTCTATGTAGTTATTATTTCATTAAAACGAAATCAGAGCAAACTGTTCTCAAGCAAACCAAGACTCCACATTTGTTTAAAAGCTTTAAGGCTTATCCCTATACCTCAATCAGCCAAAAAATGTCTTTCAAGGACAAAGAGAGTTTTGCTGTCATTTAACAAACATGCCGAGATATTCGAACCTCCGTTGCCGAAATGGATAATTTCTTAGATATTCGTGGGCAGATAACAGAACCCTGGTTTTGTCCACGTAAAAATATGAGTCATTTGAACCAGGGGCCATTATCTACCCTTCAATATCCTAGAAATAGGCCATTATGGCAGATTGGCAGACCTTAACCCTGGAAAGGTGGGAACAGTATTCAATATGAAATAGCGTTGTTAGATTTGTGTGTTTGTAAGAGAGTGCCGTACTCCTATTCTCACATTTTTTTGTTCCTTTTGGTGACCACTGTTCTATACCCTCCACCTTCTTACGTCCGTTTGGGCGTATTATAATTTTTAAATAGTTATTTTATCTGTATCATATCAACTTGTGTTCATACGAATTTGATTAAAACCTGCCCAAGTAGTTTTGGAAATAGTCGACAAAATCTGAAAATTCTCTATGTCGTTGGTTGATTGGAAATTCCTCTTTGCAAACGGCCGACACCATTTTGCATTGCATCCGCAAATATCACTGCAATAAGCCTAACAAATGACGTGGGTAATTTACAACGAGCCAGATTTTTCAATTAGCCTGCGACATGTACACTTTTTATCAATTTTGGACTAAGCAGTTCTTGAAACGTGTACTGGAAGAATAAGAGTTTAAGTTTTGAGAAAACAACAAAAAGATTAACAGCATTACACTATTTCATTAGAACTTCAATAGCTTCATTATGGTTTTAACATCATTTCATTTCTAAAAACTAATATACTATGTTTTTGTGGAATTAAGTCTACCAAATTAAAGTATAAAATATTTTTTGATGACACAGGGGAACAAATTTTTGGTGCATTTAAACAAATATTTGATCTTGTCTAATTCGGGTGTGAGGATTTCAAATCTAAAATTAACATTTAATTACAATTTTTACTAGTTTTAAAACGTTACATATAACAAGGTTTTCGCGGTAAATGTTGCGACAAGTTAGGACACATCATGATTTAAGTCGTAGAAGGATTCATGCCCGGAAACGTCATCGTACTATGTCTGGAAATGTCATACTAGGGGAGCTTACAAATACAACTTGTTAAGAACCACGCGAAGAAACAGTTAATAATGCGGAAGCGCCGCTAGTGGCTTGTGACGACACTTCTGGGCATTGGTCCCTATGCAATTTTAATTTTGATGCTGAGCCCTAACTCCCCAAGAAGTTTGTCGCAACATTATCAACCTCCTGTCATATATAATGTTTTTTAACCTGTACATTTTGACAAAAAATAGACCAAAATCGTCATTAAAAAACTGCAAGTTGGAGACAGAAACCGATTGCAGATTTAAAATCAGGAACATAAAATTATCCAAGATCCGTTTAAAAATCTCATCCAACAGAAAAAAAATATGTTCCCTTGCGCAGTTTAATCATTGCTAATTGCTGACCGGCCTGTGTAGGGGTTAGGGAACTGCCATTGCTTCAGAAAGGTTCTGGGCTCGAATCCCGGGCAAGGCATGGATGTTCTTTCCTCCTCTGTACTTTCTGTCCCTACTGTGCGAGCAACGTTGGCCCACCTAATATGGTGCCCCTGAAAGAGTGGCCAACAAATCTGCTCTTTAGGTGCCTGTATGACCTAGGTCATTATCCAGGTGGGCACTGGAAAAAAAGTCATCGCTAATTTGGTCGACGGCTGTGTATTTGTGTTTGTTGACATTAACGAACCAAAAACCCTTGAATAACGTAAAATATAAATAATTATGTATAAATACACAATAAGAGTATTTAATTAAAATAAATAATGAAAATTTGGTTATAAATATAGTTAATGAACTTTTTATTTCAGTGAAGAGGAAAAAAGAAAAGAGGTTACTGGGATATTTGGAGAAGTACGTTTCTTTCATTTTTTCACCATTTTCATCATTCCAGACACAAACGGGAAGAGAAGGAGTGGGAGTTGCGAGTACCAATTCACCAGGTTTCCCAACAATACTGTTTCCTGCAAGCAAAGAAGTAACTGAAATCGTAGTTTCCTTAACTTGTGCGCTAGCTTAAGGTGACCAGATGTTTTAAAATCTTGAGGAGAGTCTTCAAATTTCAATAGCTGCCCTCAAAAACTTTCAATCATTTTAAGGACATAAAATGTCTTCAAATCTTAACATATCGCTCATGGGCTGCAAAATTTTCATTGCTGAGGAAAACGCATAAAAAATGTTTCAGTTTGCTTAAACGAAGATTACCTTCAAGTTGAATTATGAGTCGTGCTAGTATTGCTGCTGAAATAATGTGTATTTTCATATTTACACCTGTTCTTAGTCCAAAACTTGTGTTTTTTGAGTTGTGCAACTATTGCAGCCCATGAGCGATATGTTCTCAAATTTTAACAAAAAGACCTCATCTTTTTTAAATGCAGTGAAATATAAAAAAAAATTAGAAATGTGCATGCTTGTTTTAATCAAGATAATTTTGTCTCATATACATACAAGCAAAAAGCTAAAAAGCACCATACTGAAAATATATGATCGACTGAAAATAATTTCAGAAAAAAAAAAAAATATTTTACTAATCATGTGCTTATTTATTTCACATGGGTTAAACAACTACAGAATATCATATGATATGTCAACTAGCAATGAAGTTTGATGAAGATGGTTTTGTAATTGATATTAGTTTTTAATTAAAAAATATCTTTGCTCCTCATACAAATTACTATTTTTCATAAATATATGGGCTTCTTGAAATCGCAAAATTTTTTGAGCATGCTCCGTTGATTTACCCTCAAATCATAGTTTCGAAATCTGATCACCTTAACGGCGCAGTTGTTCATATTTTAAAAAGTGTTACTAACCTTCCTCGTCGAATATTTTAATGTCCACGCCCAATGCTGGACACTGAATTTCAGAGCTGTACACTGGGCTGTTATAATCAAATCCCGAAAATACACCGATTACTTCTGTTGCACCTGTAACAGTAAATTCGTAGGTTATGTGCAGTGTATGAGTACAGTGGCACAGAGTAAAAAAATGTACAATGGACCAAAGAAAGCAAGAAAATATCACCTTAAATAATTTTAAACTAAATATTGGATTCTTACGGAATTAAACTTAATTTTATTGGATCAAAGGTAAGATTTCAATTTGTTAATTAGTTAGTGCTATCTAATATAAAGTTACGAAACTAGACTTTAAAAGTACTTTCTCTGAATAAACAAGGCTTCTTTTATTTCCAGTAAATTCTAATTTTTGACCCTCAAAAAGAAAAAAAAAAGAAAAAAAAGAAGGGAGGCGGTAGCCGTTTTCATTTTCCAACAAAGTTTAGCCATTTTAGTTCATTCAATTTTTTGCATATTTTGCCATTTCTCCGGATAACTAATTTTTTTGACTAACAAATATTTTTTGCGACCTGCTTGTACAAAAATAGTTCCATGTAAAAAAATTACTCACCATTTTTTATTATTTCATTTAGCGATGATCGAAAAAACTGAGTTTAATTGCGCTACGATTTTACACTCTTTTTAATTAATCTCATTTTAAATGATAAAATTCAAAATTTTATTGGAATCGTTGAAATAGTTAGCATTTTAAATAAATGAGTTTTTAAAGTATATTTTCAAAGAAAAACACATTTTCTTAAAAGTATTTATTGTTAATTACTGAAAAAGATAAAATATGTTTCGAGCTTACTACACTGCTAGTAATAGAGAGTGTCAAATCCTATTGTTCAAATATGCCGTAGTGATAAATTGAACCATATTATAATACCTTCCTAAAATTGACTGCATGGTTATTAAGAAACTTGAAAAGCATGGTTCAAGTTAACACCATATTGCGGTTGCTGCACATCTGCGTCTTATGCTTTGAGCCGATTTTTCTCAGAATGTAAGGCTGCAGATTTATATTAGTGCAGTTTAAGAAGTTCTCTTAAAGTTTTTTTTATGACACAATCAGATAAATGATTATCAGACATTAACTTAGACACATAATAATGTTTATTATGCAGGAGGGTTTAAACATACCATATAAACAACCCACAAATAGATCTGGTTTCACTTTTTGAAGAAGAAAATCCACGTTCTGTAGTTTCACCGGACTGGCACCAACCGCGATCATTTTCAAGTGTTCCAACTTACAGTCAGGTGCTAAAATGAAAAGAATAGTTTTTTGTTTTAATTATAGATTATTTCATAAACTGAAAGTTCCAAATCGAGTGGAATATGAAATTTAATGTTCCTATATGTTATGAATTTGTATTGCAATAAGCAAATAAAACGTTGACTTCAGTTGATTTCAGAGGAAGTTTAAAATTAGATAAATAATAATATAATCAACAGTTTAAATTTTAACTTATAAAAGTAGGCTTAATTCATTATAGAATTTATAAATCTTTAATTTATTGGTTTCATTTGTCAAAAATTAAGTTTTCAAACGTATTCCAAACTTTGAGTATAATAATCATTAACATTAATTAAGCGAACAGTGAATATTGTAATATATTTAGAGGTGCATAGTAGTATAATAATATTTATTATTATATTACTAATCGTATGTCGCATTGTCGTAGAAGGAGATTTAACTTTGAACTGTATAAGACTTATAAGCAACCTGATATTATTAAATACATAAAAATAAATAGAATGAATTGGATCACCCACGTGATTCGAATGAGTGACGACAACACAATAAAAAATATACTGCTTTTTAGACCCACTGGAAAACGAAAGAGGGGAAGGCCGTGGTTGAGATGGGCTGACTCAGTGGAGTCTGATTTCTCGCAATTAATGAAAAAAAATTGGAGATCAACGATAAATCGGAAGTCGTCATGGAGAAATCTTCAGAAGAAGGCATTGGCTCACATTGGGCTGTCTCGCCAACTATGATGATGATGATGACGACGTATGTCGTACGTTCTTTAATCCCTCGCAAAAGCACAAAAACTTTCTAATTGGAATATTTTTATGTGGAACAAAAAAAAAAAAAGAAAGTTTCAAATATTTGAATTAGAGATCTTTTATAAGTATATTTTATTATTGGGATATTCAGCAGAAGCCAAACCGATGTTTCGAATCTTTTAAACGGTTTTTATGCTGAGATTTCAAGTTGACTAACATTATTCCTTAGCAAGCATTATTTACCAGGTAAAAATCCCTCTTTCTCAAATGTGTCAATGATGCTGGTTACGAGGAAAGCAAATGTCACTTTATAATGATCCATTATGTCCCAGAAAGCATGCTTAGACAAGAAAGTAGGCAGTCCGTCATACAACAGAAGAGTGGTTCCAAGTGCCAAATTACCAATGTACAAATTCCACAAGTTCCATCCCACCTGAAAAATAAGAACGAAGATCTTACTAGTAAATCTTCTGATTCACTATAACTTGGAAAATTCTAAATTTTTTTTTTTACAAACTTTAATGGTCTTCATGATTATGAGCTCATATTTGATAAATCGACAACGAAAAAAATAACTAAATAAAAAAAATTCAAGAACAGTTGATTTACATTATTTGCCTGATAAAAAGGTTGGATGGTGTTGAGTCGTAATATTGTTCAAATTCGTTGAAAGTTTAGCATCGTTTTAACTTTAACCATCGCAACTCTTAAACTTTATGACTCGATTACGGTGCAATTAAGTATTTTATTAAGTCACAATAAACTTGCATCGTATAAGGGGTTCTACGCAATATTAAACCATTTTTTTTAACGAAGATGTATTTGTCGACAGTGCTTGTTTAGAAATGATAGAAAAGAAATTTCGAGCATTTAGTTACTAATATTAAAATGGTTTAGAAGGTTCATAGTTTAATAGATCGTAAAAATTTATAACCAAATTTTAAACGTTATTGTCGTCGTAATACATAAAATCCATATGATTAAAAATTCTCAATAAATGGCGTAACATTACAGTGAATATTATTTGTATACTTTTAAAACAAATTTTTTACTCTTAGGAATTTGACACTGATGATATTAGCTTTTAAATATTTTAGTGTTTTGCCATTAGATATTATTTTGATTATGCCATATCCAGCATACTTTATTTTATTCTTTTCATTTTTTCATTTCATTTTCCTCATTTACTTTTTCTTTTTTTTCCTCTGAGAGCCACCCAACCTTAACATGGATTTAAAGATCTAGATCAGTGGTTATCAACTGGCGGCCCCCGGGCCTCATCCGGCCCACGAAGCCTTTTTTTGTGGCCCGCGAACTAAAATATATTAGTTGTCCTTTTTTGTGGACAATTTTCGTAAAAAATCTATATGGGTTTTAAATACTTTTAAGTTTTATATCTAGACAATTTGATGTCTGTTGCACATTAATTGTTTAATACATAGGTGCACATTAAAGTTATTGTAGCCAGAATTTTTTAATATGCAATTAAATATTTCTAAAAATCTACTTCTTATTTTAATTTGTAACTCAATACTTTTGTTTTTGTACAACTTGATAAAAATCTAACAGTAATATTTAAAGTTCCTTCAAACATAAAAGAGTCCTAAATAAAATGTTTATAAAGTTGCGGCCCACCATTTGACTAGTGTTTTTAATTGAGACCTCTGGCCTCGTGTAAGTTGGAAACCCTTGATCTAGATGATCCAAAGTGAAATACTTTCAAATATTAATCTGCCTGAATCTGAATCAAAATTATAAAATTACACTTCAAATGGAAAATCCAATAGTAATCGTTACTCAAATACAAAGCATGTAAGAAAAAAAAAACTCTTTTTGTTAAAAAAAATATTTACTTACTGGTTGCATAGCTAGAGTGACATTATCTCTGCCCAAGTTGCAATGTAGTCCGAAATCTCTAAACAGAGCAAGGAAAGTCTGAAAGTATGCATTCATGAGTTGAAATCAAAACTAATAAATACAAAGATTTGTACCAAATGTACAAAATGAACATAATGATTCCGTTTCGCAACAAGAAAAAAAGTGTTTAAGTATAATTAAAAGGACGAAAAACAACAGCATTTATGTATTTAATGATGAAAATATAATAATAGTATGCTTTTAATTTTAAGCATTTTAAAAAAGAACTGTTACAAATAAACAGTATTTGCAATATCTGCACAAAAGGATTTCTTTTCGCAGCAAGAATAAAAGGGTTCAAGTATGACTGAAAAAGTAGTTTATATGATTATTGATGGAATTAACGTAATATTATGCTTTTAATTTTAATAATACCAAGTATAAAAGTTGATTATTTATAGAATTTTCTTTCAGTTTTATTGGAAAATTAAGTGTACAATTAATGTAAAAGCAACTCTTAATAAAAACTATATGAATCAGTTAAAACAGCGCTAGATAAAAGAGCAATAAACTATAATAGCAATAACGATAATAGCAATAAGAGTAATAGAGTATTAAGAGCAACGCTGATAATTGAAACAGAATTATTTTTATCGTTCGCCCTTAGTGGTAACAAGGACGATTTACCTTTAGTAGGTGTCCAGCTTCCAAGGTGTTCTCCCTTATTTCCTAGAATTTGCGTTGGGTTTTAAAAAGCCCTTAACCTCGAATTTCAGTTTTTGATTGTTGGATATCAGCCAAATTTTTAATTTTTAGGTTATTTGCTCATCAAAAATATTATTTTTTAAATGTTTTACTTAGTAATTGTTAAGTGTTCTCTCCACATGAATAATTGTACAGATAGACAGCACTTTTTTTTGAAGAATAGCTTCATAATTGGGTACTTGCACGTCAAGAAGAAGAAGATCTCCCATACCCACACATGTGACCTATGACATCAGCTCCAGCTAATCTTTATCAGCAAAATGGCGTATTAAAGTTAATCTAAGCTTCTCTACATAAGTTAGAATGTAAATTAACGATGAGTTAATTAAATACAGTGCTGTATCGCACATCGAATTAGTTGAAATATACACAGTCCAGTCACATTAATGTGACCACCACCTACTCTCGACGTCAACGTGAAATAACCACTCACAGAGTGCAGGAGGCAGCACATTACAGTGTAGTGTATATATTGGATGTCCTAGGGCATCGAAAAGCATTTCAGTCGTTGGCGCAATGCAGAAATGTAGCGATTTATCCGACGTCCAAAAGGGCATGATTATTGGCTTTCGGGCCAAGGGTGGAAGCATTTCGGAAACGACTGATTTTGTGAGCTGTTCGCGTGTCGCCGTGGTAAAAGTATACCGTGCATGGCAAAATGGCACTATCCAAAACAAACGGCGTGGCACATGTGGTGCATCACGGGCCAAAGATGGCAGAGGCAGACGAAGGCTGCGGAAATGCGTTTAGACGAATAGACGTGCAACTGTTAAGCAACTGACCGTCCAGATGAACCAAGGGGCTACCAAAAGTGTATCCTCAACAACTGTTCAGCGAACGTTGCTGCGCATNCTTTTACTTAACTTAGATTTATCATTTGTTGATGTATTTTAGTCTAACCGTGATATACTTTTGTTTTGTGTACCTGGCAACTTCGATGCATATTTAGTTTGTTTATGTTCCACATGGCTGCGTGCCTGGCTTTGCGCTAAATCTCTGTATGAATATATAGTGAAAGAATTGTAATCTTTGAGAAAGAATCTTTGTGAAAGAATATATAATGTGCCACTTAAGAGAATTGATACTTGATGGTCTTGTTTTAATCGAAATGGAATGGAAAGAACAGTTAGCTAACGTAGAAAAATGCCATGTTTCAACATCCAATCAGGATCGAGATACCCACAATACGTCACTTGCAATTGTCCCATTAAAACATTTTCAATAGTTTGCTTCAGATTTAAAATGGTTTCAAACAAATTAAAAACTATATGAGCGCAAAAAGGACTAAGGACTATTATTTTAGAAAAACATGATAGCTTTCCTTCGGCCAAGATTTAGTTAGAAAATTCTCATTTGCGTAAGGATATTGGAACTTTTGTAAAGCCCTATTTAAACGTGTGGTCGGATTCAGTTTTGATCATCTACATCCCCATTGATTTCTAAGTCTTCACTATCGTCAAATCTTCATTATTTTATAAAATTATTCAGAGTATTTATATCTTACTCCTGCTGAATGGATGAGTCCTTTCGGCAAACCAGTGGTGCCAGAGGTGAAATTGATGAAGACAGGTTGGTCAAATGGGAATTGCTCAAAGACCAATTCGGGGACATCACCGTTTGGAGTTAAACCACCCTCGAGAAATTCATCCAAAAAGCAGCTAGAATATAGGGTACATAGCTTAAAACAAGAAGAAACGATAGTATTTTAAATTTAGTTGCTTTGTATTTGTAAAAGGTAAATTACCTGTTGTTAACTGCACTGATGTCTTTTAATTTGGAACTTTCTTTGGTGGGAACAATAATGACTTTTTCAATGCATTCATTTCCTGTACAAATTTGCATAAAGAAAATACTTATTGAGTAATTACTTCAGAAGTGGCAAACTTTTAATGTTTCATACTATTAAGAATTGTTTCTTATACCTTAAAAGAACAAAACACACCTCACGAGACTTTCTTTAATTTTCTCAAATTTGATAATTATGCAAGAATATTTTAAATTTGGCAATTGATTTGGTGAAGCTTTGTTATTTTTCTATCAAACCGGTTCTTACACTTTGGGCTGCACAAATAAAAACCAAAATAAAATAAAAAAAAGCTCCAAATACCATTTTTTTTAAAAAAATGATATTTGTTGCTTGTTAGTATTTATTTATTTTGAATATATTCTGCAATGCTTTCAGCATTTTCAAACCTGTTAAGAGTTGCCTTTCATTCTAATATTTTGAAATCTCTGGGATCTGCTTCTGAAAAATAATTCGTAAGAAGGATATTTTGTGGAGATAAAATTGCAGCAATTCAGGTATTTGCTAGTAGTTTATAACGGCTTTAACAAAAGAAGATTTGACACCTAGTTATAATTAGTAATTAGTTATTTATTATAGTCGCGTCGTCAACATTTAAAATAAATTACAAATCCATTCAGTGATTTGTTTCTCATGTGCAAAAGGTAAAAATCCACTAAAATTTATTGGTGGCAGTATAAAGGGTTTGGGAAAAAATCTGAAAATAAATAGTGTGTCAATTTCGATAGAATCATTTAAAAATTGAATTCGTATGATTTTTTATTTAAGTCATACCAATTATTGTTTTATTTAAATAATTATTATAATATTATAACTATTTTAATACATAATTTATAATTATAATATTTAAATGAAAAAAAATCAAATGGATCGTGAACCCTGCATTTCAGCGTTTCTTGAATCTTTTGAATTTCTGAATCGTTATTTACCAGTAAAAACTGAATTTTTATGCAAAATCGTGACTGAGACCTGACTTGGACTCATTATTTCCTGATAGAAATGAAACACAGTTCTCTCATGTAGATTCATTTCAATTTCTCGATTCCATTAAAATGTCCAATATTTCGATTTCCCATGACATGTTTATTTATTTATGGCAGTGCTGGTACTGATTGCATGTTGAAGGCTGCGATTGATGCTGTGAGTTATGTTTAAAACTTGAATTATGAGGAAAATTACTTAACGATTTTTGACATAATAAAATTTTTCAAATGTCCTTTATGCTGTTGCATGGCCAAACTTAAAAGCAAGGTATAATTATCTTCTATACACCCAATGAGTTAAAAAAAGGGAAAAAAAGAAATAAGATAAGGATAGACGAGTTCTCTGATCAAGCGATAAAACTTTTCAGCCATCAGCGACACCACACAGAAAATTTGTCAAGAGTTTTGGTTGCGCGACGTCAAATTATGAAATTATACTGAATTATTATTATACTGAAAGTTTTTGTTCCCTGGTCAGAGAATAGTCTAAGGCTAAGGTAGCGGTTCCCAATTTTTTTCGTCTACGGAACCCTAAATAATCAACCTTCTTTCGGCGGAAACCCAACTTTAATAAATAAAGTTTATTAAGATAATAGTGAACGTTATAAATTATGAAAAACTATTTTTAAATATTTAATTAGAGGCATGAAGATTTTTAATTATTTATTATTAATAATCTTAAATCTTGTTTCATATGTCTGGAATTTGAAGTCTTTGTACTATCTTGTCTGGTTATGAATTTGTTTTTGGTGTATATACATAAGCTAAAAATGATTAAAATAAGACAAATTATGGTTTACTTCGAAATGAAAACTTAAAAGAACTGCGAAAATATTATTAGGGAAACATAATTTTTTTATTAATGATATCAGTTATTTTATTTTTAATTGAAAAATACTAATGCAATATTTTGTAAATACTCGCCTTTTTCATAATTGTTCAATATATTGTTATTAGAAATATTATTCTCTTGTAAAAATGCCATTTCTATCTCTTTGGCATTTTACTTGTAATAATTCCATAAAGACAACCACAAGATTAAATAAATTATGAAATATAGGGGAATCTTTAAATATAATCTGAGGTTTCAAAACTCATCACTCGTTGTAAAAAGTACTAACTCGCGGAACCCCTCTTCTACGGAGCCCTAGGGTTCCGCAGAACACCATTTGGGAAACGCTGGTTTAGTAAGAAAGAGAAACATTGAAAGCAAACCGTTGACGATTTCGGGTAATCTCTCTAATATATTCAGCTCATCCTTGTTGAATTGAAATCTGTCAACTGAGATGAGAAACTTGGGTTTCATGATGCCCATGATTGTAGAAACAGCCTATTAATTGATAAAGAATAAACATTAATAAATTTCAGCAAATTATACATACAATGAATAATGATAATAATTATTTAATAGATATTAATTAAATACTTATAATAGTAAATTAATAGATATCAATTAAATACTTGTAATAATTATTTAATAGATATTATTTAAATACTTACAATAATAAATTAATAGATATCAATTAAATACTTATAATAACTATTTAGTAGATATTAATTAAATGCTTACAATAATAAATTAATAAATGCCAATTAAATACTTATAATAATTATTTAATAATTATTAAATAGATATTAATTAAATACTTATAATAATAAATTAATAGATATCAATTAAATACTTATAATAATTATTTAATAGATACTAATTATTATTACTGTTATTATACGTAAGATTGCTTAAACTTTTAAAAAGCTGCTGGAAGTATACTCTCAAAAATTTTTTAAAAACTTTTTCAAGCTATTTTCAAACCTTTCATTTGTGTGACCATCAGTTAGTATTTTAAAAAATACGAAAAAAAATGCAGTGAAGGGTTTCGTTTACATGAATGTGGGTGACAGTAAAGGTTGGCGTAGTGTTAAGAAGAGAGACATTAACACTGGGGAGCTCTTGAGCGTAAGTTCAAGTTTATGGCCAATTCTTTACAGTAGGTAGGTACTGTAAATTCGTTACAGCAGGTTTACAGTATTTTGAAAATTCCACCAAAATGAAAAAGAAAGCCTTAAAAATCAAATTAATTTTAGGTAATGAGCTAAATGAGTTACTTTTTCTAAATCAACATCAACCTTAAAAGTATTTTAATATAATATTACTAGAAAAGAAAATCGCGCTGTAATTGGTTAAACATGGACGAAATAAAGCTTCAGTACAACAAATGTAGATAATAACAACTTTCAAAGAATACTTTGTAAGATATTTTTAAAAGTAATATGCTACTTGATCGTAAAGGATTAGTTCCGCAGTGTAAGTCCCGCAGATCGTAAAGGTGCTGTTTCCAGCAGAGCACCGAAATCAAGCTTTACTGGCTTCAGCCAGTGAACTAGTGGGTGGCCACTTTGATCAGCCTGCATGCGACCGAGGGTGCGCGGTATCGGTCTTCGCTAAGCCGTTCTTCCGTAAAAGGCTCGACTTCGCCAGCAGGTCGTTGGGCTAGAAAAGCGTGCGGGCCATTCCTTCTGTAGATAATCAAAATTGTGATGACATATCTATGAATCATCCTCATGAAGGTTTCCCAGACCGTCGCCAATAGCCGAATGTTAGCAGTGATGGCTCAGGGGATAGAGCGTTCGCCTTCCAATGAGGTGAACCGGATTCAAATCCTACTAATGGCTGGTCGATACGAATCCGAATCCGGCTTGCCCCGACCACAGTGCTGACGTCGTGAAATATCCTCAGTGGTAGACGGATCACGGGTTAGAGTCCCTTTGCCTTTGGGCTAATCTTGGGAGGTTCTCGTGATCTTCCTCTCCATGTAGCGCAAATGCGGGTAAGTTCCATCAAAAAGTCCTCCATGAAAGCAAAATTTCTCCCAATACATGATCCAGAAGTTCCCTTGTCTTCTGGATTAGGTTCAAAATTACAAGGCTGCGGAGCTGAACATTAGAAGTCGTAAACCCAAATATTGGATCGGCTGTTCAACGACGGTTATAAAATAAAATGAAATAGCCCACTATGCAACTCCAGTGTGACGTAAATGAAGAATTACAATTACAACTTGAGAAGCAGACAAAATTCTGCAACAGTTCCAAAATATTGAAATATACTTCTAATAGTGAAATAATACGTGTAATTAAATAAACAGAACGAATTAAAAAAACCAAAAAATTAATGAATCCGCATACAAATGATATCACGCTTAGAAGGGGACATTCGGGAAATTGTGACGGTTTGTGACACGGGAGGAAGGGATATAACAAGAAGTGTAACGGCACACATTTTAGTTAAAATAAAAACATTAAATACATTTATATAATTTACTTTAATGTTACCTTAGCACCATAAAATGGTAAAGGTCCTCCAAACACAGCTCCCATACTTGTCGCTGCCAACATAGCGTAAACAGCTTCTTTTCTGTTGGACATATAACCTGCAACGGAAAACATTTTCTTTTTAAATAATTTTTAGCTAGTCAGAAGATAATACTTTCAACTACTGCGTGTTTAACATCATTCTATCAGTAACATGCTTTGTGGAAATAATACTTAGAATAGACAGATTTTGTGGAAGCAACATGCGAACATTGGTTGCAGGTTCAATAATCGTATTCATTTGCGCAATAACAAGCAAATGTTATATTAATATATTATATTTAATATGATATCATTCTTATATTAAATATAATATATTGAAAATTGTATTAATAACAACGTAATTTTAAAATAAATATAATATATTGTGCACTTGAGAATATTCTCCTATAGCTAGAAATAAGTGCTGAAACTAATCCAAACGATTAAGACACATCGCATATTTTCTCAATGCAGGTTAAGCACATTTTTTTTTAAATTTTTGCACTGGAATTGCTTTTTTAATATTTTTTTTTTGTTATAAAAATAATAAAAAAAGTAAAAATTGTACTTTAAAAACCACCATTAAATTATCAATAGTTTTAAAAGTTTCCATGGAAGAGTCAATTAATCATCTGAGAAATAATTTAAAGTCAATTTATCCAAAATAAATATACGCCATGTGAAAAATTTATAGAGAAGCTTAAACTGATAGAAAAAGTACAGTCAAAACTACCAGAAAATATATTAAAATTTACTCTGTTCTTAGTTCTAAGGGAACACCAAAGAGATTCTTTCATAAATATGTACGAATAATTTAATTTATAACTTTTGATATGATTGTGAGTTAGGTAACCCCAGGCATCGCAGATGTGACTTAACAAGTGAATCCAGCATTGATTTTTAAAAAAGCAGTTTTTCAACAGCTATTGTGTAACGTATTGAGTAACGTTTCTTAAAAAGTGTATTTGATAATCTAGCACAATAAACTTTAGTAACTAAAAACGAAATATATCAAGTAAATATTATCACTGCTATTAATTGACAATGCTGAGTTCAGGCGAATTATAAACCATACCAAACTGTTTTAAACTTTTTTAATGAGGATAAGATGATTTGTTTGGCATTTCGTTTTGCACAGTTATTATACACATTTACCACAAAGGACTCTTTTTCATAATTCCTAAGGCAAAAGTTGGCATACTCTGTCTTTTTCAATATTGTTCAAGCAAATGGTGCTGCTTCTTCAAAATTTTTTCAGATAATTATTTTAATTAAATCTTTATTTTAGACATAAATTCAGTCTTATTTTTGGAGGCCCGATATCCGGGACTTTCAACCCGAAACCAAAATCCTCATGTGCTTTTTGAGCCCAAGATTATTAAATATGTATATCAAGTAAATGTCGTTATTCTCGATCATCACTTGTTCTTCGAGCGATTAAACAGTAATTAAAACATTATTTTTTATCTCCAACAAAGTGAGAAAAAAATAATGTCAAAGATAAAGCCCAAACCCCAAAATTAAGGCCTTTTCAAGCTTAGGATTGTTGAGCTTCAGGCTTGGACTTAACCCGTTCCATCGCTAATAATTTTGACATTTTTATAGGTTTCAGCTTAGAATCGCAAGAAAATTTTCTGAAAAGTGGAAATTTTAGAGCAGTGTTCCTTTTTAATAGAGATATAAGAAGCTTAAAATATTATTTCTCGCTATAAAAATAATTCTTGCTGTATAAATATAATTCTTGTTCAGTGTTCCTTCTAAATAGAGATAGAACAGTGGTTGCCAACTGGCTGCCCGCGAACTAAAACACATTAGTTGACATTTTTTTGCGGACAATTCTTGTAAAAATCTATATAGGATTAAAATACTTTTCTTTCGTTAAAAAAAGAAACAAAAATAATCTAATTTCTTCGTTTCTGTGAAATTTAACATACCAACGGTGCAAATTTTTTTTAATTTTTCAGGTTTTTCATCCAAGAAAATATTTATTATTATTTGTAATTCAATACTTTTGTTTTGAACAATTCGATAAAAATCTGACAGTAATATTTGATGTTCCTTCAAACACAAAAGAGTCCTATATAAAGTTTTGACAAAGTAGCGGCCCACCATTTGACTGATGTGTCTTTAATTGTGGTCCCCGGCCTCATGTAAGTTGGAAACCCGAGAGATAGAACAAGCTTAAAATATTATTTCTTGTTATAAGAATAATTTAACAATTTTGATAAGAGATTACCTTTGCAAGAAAAAAAAAGTATTTACTGATTAAATATATGTTTGCAAAAAAAATTTAATTAAATAGTGGGGGATTTAATTTTTACTTACAAGCCACTCTGTCTCCTTTTTGAAGGCCAGCTTTGCGGAAGGCAGCAGCGTATAATCTCACTTCTTCGTACATTTGGGCGAAGGTAACTTTTGTTTCTTCTCCATCCTCCGCTAAAACGATCAGAAGAATTTTCATTATGCATTAATTAATTTAATTAATCTGCCTCTAAAAGTACGAAACTATTGCGTTTCATTTCTAATATTTGTCAATTAAAAACTCACATCTTTAGGTAAAATATGCGTAGTTTGTCATGAAACCGAACGTTTTATGAGATAAAACTTACTATGCCAGCCCTTGATATTTGTTCACCAATGGCGATCTGGCAAGTAGAAATTCCGCACCCTGATTTAAAGGTCTCAATACGAAGAGTTGAATAGTTACATCTGTAATATTGTCAACCAGTCCAATCTTGAAGTTTGGGAGTAAGCTTCGTAATGAATATGTTTATATGCATTTTAAAAAAAGTAAGAGAATTCCTGGCTTAATTTTTAAAATTTGGGTTGAATTTTCAGTTTAAAATTAGGTATTTGCTTCAAATGTAAAGCATTGAAAATGTGACTTTTTTTTAAAGGTAGTCGAAAGAACTTCGAATAATACTTTCAAAAACGTTGTATAGAACTGTAATTATAGAACATTTTTTTAGTACTATAAAGTAGTAAAGTATTTAAATAAGGTGGTTTTTAACAGAAAAAAATGTTTTTAAAATAGTAACTTCCTTTCAGCTCTTTCTATATATCCAAAATGATGGTATTCGATAAGATAGACTAAGTTCTTAAAACACAATTTCGCCTTTTCTGTCAGCGAATAGAGATTTTTCTCTTGTATTCATTTATAAGTAGTCCCAATATTCACATATCTAGACTTATTTCGCTAAGAAAATAAGTTTGTTATCTCGAAAAGGATCTTAAAGCTTTTTCGCCAAGGAAATTAAAATAATCCCCAATTTCAGTACGTTGACTTGAAATAAGCATTGATATTATACTATGCATTATCTTACTGCAAATAACTGTTTGGACTCAGAAATAGACTAATATTTTAAAAATGTAAAAATGACTTAACTTTTTGAGAAATTGACAATTTGATGACACTTTCCCCTCTAGACAGAAATTATTAAAATCAAAATAATTATATCAAATAATATTAATATTATTAATAATATTAAAATCATAATAGTCTATTTTTGCATATTTTTTTATATAGTGTTTTATGCGAAATTAGAGTTTAGGCATAGGTGTATAAAACGTAACCTAACTGTCATGAGCGACTGTTAGAAACTCACAACAATTATAAAAATGTCATATACTGAAAAGCATTATTTCAAAGCATTATTTTCAGAAGATATAAATGATAATCCTCTGTTAAAAAAAGGATGCTTCTTCAAACTTATCTTTTTAACCAAATTAAGTTTTTTTTTCCTTTTGAAATTAAAGTTTAGGTATGCATATATCTAGCACTCAGTTTTGAAGTGAGTGTTAAAAAGTTTCAGGTTGGAACGCAAAATATTCGTACAATTTTAGATAAACTCTTCAAATGCCGGGATTTATTTGATTAGTAAATTTGTATAGGGGTAGGTCTGGAGAGTCACCAGAACCCCAGGATCAATCAAATTCAAATTCTAATTCTCTCAAAAATTTTAAAATTCCAAAGTTTTTACGCATTTTATAATATTTTATTCTTTTTATTACAACGACCTTTAATCATTTTTCTCAGTTATTACCCACACTCACCACCATTGTCGTATTTTGCCGCTGCATATTAAGTTTTTGAGTTCTCAGTCAAGATGCATCCACATTTCACATCCTATATACATCTATTAATATAAATACAGTATAAAAAAATCAAAACTGTAAAAACTGTAGTGTATATTTTTTGTTTTCTGTGGTTGTATTTTTTATCACCAGAGGTTAGCATCTGTGATAGAGAAACAGTCGGCAAGACTTCAGTCAAGATTTGATTGAATGATTTGGTTCGTCGTTCAAAATAAGTATGTATGTTTTAAATTGTGTAATAAGGATAATTATGTTTCATTTTTTAAATCTCTGTGAACTGTATTATGTGATTTTAACATGCATAATTTCTATCAATTTTCATTTTGTTAAAAACTTGCTCGAGTTCGTCTTAATGTTATCTCTGTGCTACTCGCATGTTTGATTTACGAACTAATTTTATTTTGAAAATTAGTGTAGATATCATTCTAAATTAATGATTCTTACTTTATATTGTATCCTCATCATAGATTTACTGACTCTTATGCGTATATTATTTTACTATAATTACATAAATTTTTGTGCCACTTAATGCAGAAAATGGTTGCGGATACTTTACACCAAGTAGTATAATAGAAAATTCTTGTTGTAGTGGAACATTACTTTGGTATACACCCTTTTTAACACCATTTTTGATATTAAGCCACACGAAAACTTTTTTCAGTGTATTAGCACAAAGACATTTTTCTATAAAAAGTCCAGATTTACATAATATTGAAATATATTGAAATTTAAATTCCAAATTAACGCTTCGGTTTCCTAAGAGACGTCAAACCGTTGCGTTCAGGACCTACTACATCCTTGAGATATTACAGCTAATTGGAGACAAAACCAATATTTGTTTTTCAATTTCAGAGGTATTGCCCGAAAAATATTTTCTTTGGAACAATAAAGATGAAGACATGACTTACTGACGCATATGAGAGCCACGTGATCATCTCTGTATCGGAGAATGTTTTCGGCATAATTAAATTTTGCACCACTGAACCATTCAATATCGATAAGAGAATCTCCTTTACGTCGGGCTACCTGAAAAAAAAACAAACACAAAATACATTAAAATATTTACAAACAGTTATTGCGTATGAAGTCTAGTCAAAGTCGACAAACATTGAAAATCAGTTTGGTATATAAAGGTATAGGTTTTCAGCAATGACGAAAATGTTGGTATTTAATATAATGCCTGGCATTTTCAGGCAAAGTATGAAGCTTGAGAATTAATATATACCTTACCTAGGTATTGTATGCAATGACAAATGTTCGTTGTCAAAGTTCGAATGTGAGAATCAGGAAGCTCATTTTACTTTTGAAAAATCATTTCTGAGCTGATGGTAAATGNAAAATTTAATTAAATAGTGGGGGATTTAATTTTTACTTACAAGCCACTCTGTCTCCTTTTTGAAGGCCAGCTTTGCGGAATGCAGCAGCGTATAATCTCACTTCCTCGTACATTTGGGCGAAGGTAACTTTTGTTTCTTCTCCATCCTCCGCTAAAACGATCAGAAAAATTTTCCATTATGTATTAATTAATGTGCCTCTTGAAGTGTGAAACTATTGGTTCCTATTTCTAATATTTGTCATCTAAAAACTCGCATCTTTAGGTAAAATATGTGTAGTTTGTCATGAAACAGAACGTTTTATGAGATAAAACTTACTACGCCAGCCCTAAATATTTGTTCAAAAATGGCGATCTGGCAAGTGGAAATTCCGCACCCTGATTTAGAGCTCTCAGTACGAAGAGTTAGAAAGTTACACCAGCAATTTTCTCAACCAGTCCGATCTCGAAGTCTGGGACTAAGCTTTGTAATGAATGTGTTTTTATGTATTTTTTAAAAAAACCAGAGAATTCCTGGTTTAATTGTTAAAATTTGGGTTGAAGTTTCAAAAAGCATTCTTTGCTCTGTGTTACATTTACTTAAATACGCATTTTGAGTCATGTCCATTTTCTTAAATATATTAATATTAAGAAAACTAATTTGAAAACACACTTTCCCGAGTTTAAAGTTAAATCTAACAACTGAAAAAACGCTTTTTTGCTATTAAAATACTATTTTTAAGACTGTTAAGAGATTGTAACAGTAATTTATGACTCCTGATTGTTAGATTAAGTTTTATTCATCTTTAGCAAACGCATCTATGTAAATATAATGGAAATATAAAGGAAAATGTCAGCATAAAGAAAATGAATTGCCTTGGTAATTAATTTTGTAATATTTGAAATGTTACTTCAACTCTGTATTTTTAGAGTCATATAAATAAGTGAAGAGGGGAGATTATTGATCGGTTTGAATAATTTTCCTTGATGTAAAAGAATTTCTCCAAATCGGCGAATTTTTAAAAGTTTAATAACTTCTTTATATATTTAAGAAATTCGTCTGTTTTAAAAGACAGACAATTTTTATTGGTAGGATAGTATGTGCAGCTTTAAATTAGGTACTTGCTTCAAATGTAAAGCATTAAAAATGTGACTTTTTTTTTAAGGGTTGGGGAAGGAGCTTCGAAGAATACTTTCAAAAACGTTGTATGGAACTGCAAATATAGAACTTTTTTTTAGTATGTAAAGTAGTAAAGTATTTAAATAAGGTGGTTTTTAACTGAAAACAATGTTTTTAAATTAGTAACTTCCTTTCAGCCCTTTATATACATCCAAAATGATGGTATTCGAAAAGATAGACTAAGTTCTTAGTTCGCCTTTTCTGTCAGCGAATATTTTTCTTTTGTATTCATTTATAAGCAGTCCCAATATTCACATATCTAGTGAAGCAAATTACTTATTTCGCTAAGAAAATAAGCTTGTTATCTTAAAAAGGATCTTAAAGCGTTTTTGCCAAGGAAATTAAAATAAGCGTTCGAGTTCGTCTTAATGATATCTCTGTGCTGCTCGTATGTTCGATTTACAAATTAATGTAGATATCATTCTACATTAGTGTAGATATCATAATTAGTGTAGATATCATTCTACATTAATGATTCTTACTTTATATTGTATCCTCATCATAGATTTACTGACTCTTATGCGTATCTTATTTTACCATAATTATATGAATTTTTGTGCCACTTAATGCACAAAAATGGGGCGGATACTTTACACCAAGTAGTATAATAGAAAATTCTTATTGTAGTGGAACACTTAGAGGAACATTACTTTGGTATACGCCATTTTTAACACCATTTTTGATATTAAGTCACACGAAAACTTTTTTTCAGTGTACTAGCACAAAGGCTTAATTTTTCTTTAAAAAGTCCAGATTTACATAATATTAAAATATATTGAAATTTAAATTCCAAATTAGCTCTTCGGTTTCCTAAGGGACGTCAAACAGTAGGACCTAGTACATCCATGAGATATTACAGCTAATTGGAGACAAAACCAATATTTGTTTTTCAATTTCAGAGGTATTGCCTTAAAAATATTTTCTTTGGAACAATAAAGATGAAGACATGACTCACTGACGCATATGAGAGCAACGTGATCATCTCTATATCGGAGAATGTTTTCGGCATAGTTAAATTTTGCACCACTGAACCATTCAATGTCGATAAGAGAATCTCCTTTACGTCGGGCTACCTGAAAAAACAAAAACACGAAATACATTAAAATATTTACAAAGAGTTATTGCGTATGAAGTCTAGTTAAAGTTCGCAAACATTGAAAATCCATTTGGCACATAAAGGTATAGGTTTACAGCAATGTCGAAAATGTTGGTATTTAATACAATGCCTAGCATTTTTAGGCAAAGTATGAAACTTGAGAATTAATATATGCTTTACCTAGGTGTTGTATGCGATGACAAATGTTCATTGTCGAAGTTCGAATATGAGAATCAGGAAGCTAATTTTATTTTTGAAAAATCATTTCTGAGCTGTGGTAAATGAAGGATTTCGCTATTCAATAAATAGCATATTGTTCATTCAATATATATTTTGGAATCTCAAATTCAATTTTAGGAAGCGTTCAAATGTTAAGTAAGCAGATTTTCGGTATATTTGATTTCTCCCCTCCTTGTCAGCAAAAAAAAAAAAAAAAAAAAAAAAAAAAAAAAAAAAAAAAAAAAAAACAGCTAATTACAAATTTTTCCCATTCTTTCGCGCACTGTAAGAAATTTTGTACAGTTGGTGTTGATGTAAATAAATTTTTTTACAGAGCATGTAGCCACATTTTTTAAAACTTATTTTTGCGCAGTAATAATTTTTTTATTTTTTATTCATCGTTCATTTGTTTTGTTTACTGACAGCAAATATTTTCAGCGCATTATAATAAATTTAATGGCTTCATTGCAAAAACATTTCGTTTAAGACACAACCCTATGTTTAGTAATATAACTAAATTCAGTGGCGCGACAGCCCATAGAGGGCCAAGACCTACTGTGCCCAGTTTTCTTGACCTTTAGGCTCTGAGGTGCAAGAGCAGATGTTCCGATTGGGTGGTCAGCCCAATTCGGAACCCCCAGTGTTTACCTCCCAAGCATGCTTGGTACTCATTTTATCGACCCACTGAAGGGATGAAAGGCTGAGTCAACCTTGCCAAGCCCAAGGATCGAACCAGGGACCTGTGACACGACAATGCGAAGCGCTACCGCTCAGCCACCGGGTGTCGTTTAGTAATATAACCTCACTAATTCTATCCGACAATTGTCATTTTGACATTGTTATGTAATTTTTTGCACGATAACTACAGTTCTATACTTCAAATTGTATTTAGTTCACCTTTAACAATAAAAATGGTGGCAAAAACACCAACTTTTTTTATAGTATAAAAAAGTAGCGACATTCCCACCTTGTTGTTAGCTTTAACTCTCTATGAATAATTTTAGAATTAAATTCAAATAAACAATGCAACTTTGTACAAAACGAAAGTATTGTATTATAAAAATTCTTTGATGCAATCTTATTTAAAATGAGTTGTGAAGGAAATGCATTTTTAAGTAAAAGGCGAGTATGAGAAATTCGTAATCTGTTAATTTACATATTGTAATAGGGGTAAATAATCAACTCTACCATTAATTTGAAATTAATTGAAATCTTACTTCAGTATATGGCTCTGAATGAATCACTCCATAAAAATTCCAAACTTCCTCCCAAAATTGTGCATAGTTTTTTATTGACCATTCGTGAAAATCTCTGTAGTTTTCTGAAATAAATAAAGCATTCTATTGGTTCTTATTGGTAAAAGCAATATAGAATCAGAGTTACATTGCAATGCAATGGTGCAAAAATTCTTCTTAGGTTGAAAATAATCTTTTCGGTTTCTTTTGGAGCAATATCATAACTTTGTGAAACTTAACTTTCATTTTTCATTCATTGCCCCTATCTAGCAAATTATATAAAAAAAAATATAAGTTATAAGTTTTGTAATGAAATAAAAAACATCCAGCAAAGTATGAATTCGATAAAAAAAAAAGAGTAATAAGGCAAAAAAAAACTTTTTTTTCCAATGCCCGCCTGGGGAATGACTTACGTCATAAAGGCATCTGAAGGACGGATTTGTTGGTCACACTTTCAGGGGCACCATATTAAGTGGGCCAACGTTGCTCCCACAGTAAGGACAGAGAAGGAAAGATCATCTATGCCTTGCCCGGGATTCGATCCCAGAACCTTTCTGATGCAAGGGCAGTTCCCTAACCCCTACACAAGCCGGTCGGCATGAGGCAAAAATAAAATTGTTTCTGTTTCGGAAATCACTGAAGTTCTATAAGTTCTTTTCAGAATAAAGAATTCTGCATTAAAAGAAGGATTATTTTTTCCTATAAGAATGATTATTCATATACCTTATATTACAGAAATAATTTAAGAATACTAAGAACAATAAAGATTTACGTTCCAGTTGTCACAAAAGTGAACGACGATTTGAAAAATGAATTAAAAAAATTGAGCGGGATGTACCCAGCAAATCTTAAAATTAATTTCAAAGTTCGTCAATAGATGGCGTGCAGGCTGGAAAACTATAGAGTGTTTTTTGTTGCATCTAGGTCTGCTTAAAATAAAATATTTGCTATGGCAAATGTAAATTTTGACTCAAGCTGCACCATTCTGTTGTAAAAAGTTGTGGTTATTTTGAAATGTTACTGTTGCAGTTTACAGTGTCCTCGATTGAAGATCTTTGTAACAAATTTCGAAATTTAATTTCGATAAATTTTCAGGTTTTTTCAGCATTACGAAGCAAACTGTATTTTTTTTAGCCCCACCTTCCGTTTTCTTTAACTGAGTTTTTATATCTTCGGTCATTTACAAGGCATGTTTTTGCCTTCATTAACTGAATTTTCATTGCCTCATTTTCTTAATAAGTTTCAAACTTTTATAAAAAATATTTATCTAACTGCAAAATGGATCATAATTTAAATAATTACCAAATTTGACTCCATATTTGTCTTGAATGACGTTTTGCAACTGTTCCATCTGAGTTCCAGGGACTTTTTTATCCCATATTTTTCTGGTTCCTGCTTGAATGATGTCAACTAAACCTTTCTTTCCTTTGGCTGCAAGAAAAAAAGCTAAGTCTTATTTCAAAGCTTATTTAGTAGAGTTTTAAAGTTTTTACCTAAGCTTCCAAAGGCCACGTAAAATTGCCAGCCTTTTTTTTAGGTTTTACTACTTTTGTCAGAGTCTTATGTTTTTACTTAACCTTTCAAATCTTTACTTTTTTCTTTAGTTTCGTAGAATTCGATAGTTAATTCACACAAGAAAAATAATTGTTAAAATATGTACAAATATCTAAAAATCTATCAACTAATGAACTGAAATTAAATAAGAAATATACTTTTAAATTAGCACCTCTGTAAACGCAATCACTTACTTCAAAAGACATGTTTATAATAGTTTTAGCGTTTTAATTTCAATCCTTAATGATCATAAACCGGACAGCGTTTGTGTCTCTTAAGAATAATTGAGGGGCCGAGATAGCCTGTCTGTAGGGTGCTGGACCCATGTCCGAGAGTTCGTGGGTTCGAACCCCGCCGGCCGAAGACGGTGTAGTAAATGTTGACTGATGAACGTTAAATCTGTCGAGTCGCAAAATCCTCCATGTTCCCATAACAAATCAAAACCTCTGGGGGTACTGGATTGGAGATCATCGTTCTCTGATCCAGGTCAAAAATTGCGATCTGTGGATAAACGAATGAATGTATGAATGGGTCCACCCTATAAACGGGTGTTATGTGTGTGTGGCTGGAGACGAATTCTTGGCCATAGATAGCGCCACTGAAGAACAAGAAACACACCCTCTGCCTTAAATTTTCTCGGTTTCACCAAGCAGGCTTGCCAATGTGGCAATGGCATTAGAAACCACAACGACAACGACAAGGATAATTGAAAAATTCGTCTTCTGGCAAAACTACCGATACTATTCGCTAGGCTTATTGCAATGAAAATTGTAGGCAAAGTGCTGCTGCGTGTAGAACATTTCGATAGAGTTTATAGTTCTTAATAAGGTAATTAATTGGTAAATTTTAACGTTTCAGGTAATGTAGTACCCCTTTCAATAGCAGGTCATTTCGTTAAAAATTACTCAAAACAAAATCCTAGTTACAATGACTTCCAAAAATTTAAAACTAAAAAAAGATGATGCATCACTTCTATTCAAAACTCATAGACGTTACTCTAACAGTTGAAAATACAGTTTTAAGTAAGTACGAAGTGATAACAACATTAGAAAAGTTGCTAAAATGGAATTTTACGATAACGACCAAAACTCGCCTTTCGGAATTTTATTTAAAATATATGAAATTACAGAATAAAATTACAGACATTACAGAATGGGGGTAAGTTCGTATATTTCACCAGAAGTTTGCAAGCCTCCTACATCTGGAAAAATAAAAAAACATTTGTCCAAAGAAAGTTATGCAAAGCTCTCGAATTGGGAAGATTCAAAGAACATGAAAAAGAAAAAATTATGACGAACATGGAAAATGTAAGGAGCCAACTAAATTTCAGCCTTCTTAACCATTTGATGTAGATGGGACACCGGTGTCCCGTTTGTTAATTTTTTTTGATGCTTTAATTACCAGCAAAAATATATTTTGGTATTTTGTAATTGTAAAAAACAGTCTAATAATTTTAAAAAAAAATCCGCTACAATATCAGAATTATATGAGTAGGGGAGAGTGGGGTCAATTGTAACAGGGTGCGATTGTAACAGAGCAAAAATTTCGAGTGTCGGGTTCTAGATTTGGTTCCTAGGTGGCGCACAAGGTGTATTTAATAAATCTACATGTACACCCCTGATGGCAACCATTTTTATGTACTTTTGAAAGAGTTACATCACAAAAGATATTTTCACGCCACGCAAGTACTTTTTTTGGTATTAGAATATTATATTGTAACAAAGTAATTTTGTTTAAACAAATAAAAATTAGTAAC